GGGACCTTTATTACTCCAAAGCACTAATATAGCTCCGACTGCTTGTATAGTCGCAATTTCTCGTGGCATGTGGCCACCAACTCCTTTTATAGTCAACTCACTGTGGACCCATAAGATGATATGCTACATATAAAACTGTATTATACAGTACTGTACAATACTATTAGTATAAATAGTGTTCTGTTACATCAGTTAACTGTTAGAACGTAGCAGTACGATTAGAAATACGTATCATACGGATAGCTCTTGATTTCGAGATTCTCTACCAGTGATTATTAAGCTAATTTTCATCCGGATAAAGATTAATCAATTAGTAGGTAACTTTCTACAATAAGAGATCTATGTGTATTGGAAGGTCCATCACGGTTGGTATTTTTTGAGCGTTTCACTTACAGTCTTTACTACTCAAACATATCGATGAAAACAGATCACATTGTACATCATACCAACAAAAAAACTAGATTAAGAAAACTGATCTTAGCGTATCTACTAGTTTAGTACTGTACTGAAAGACCTTTCCTCATTAACATTCCTGCAGGCTTACTGTACTGTACAATGAGTACTGAGCGGTGTTGTGCAACGGAGTGAAAAGCCAACTCGAACCCGATCAAATTGCTGGCTTACTAACCCGAATTGAGTGCAAACGCTATACAAACACTGTACCATCACAGAAATTCTGAATCCGAATCCCGCCTTCGTGTCGGGTTTAAATCGGGTTTCGGGTTGACTTTGCACACATCCGTGCTTCTGAGTAAAGTACGGTACGACAATACGGAAAACTCCAATACCGTACATTTATTACAGTACAGTACAGTACTATTTATCGAGTGTACTTGCCGAGCATGAGCAGTGCAGGTGAACGATTTGATCGAAAATGTTAAGTCTTTACAAAGGGTGCGTTACTTAAAAAAACGCGTACTGTAACTGCAGCCTACAGTACAGGGCAGACCTGACAGTGCAGGGTGACCCTTTCGCAAACTCCACTACAGTACAGTACAGTACCTCGTACAGTGTACAGTACTGTACAGTGTACTGTACAGTACCTCGTACAGTGCACAGTACACATACAGTACTAACACGGACTTCGGAGACAGATACTGTATTGTACAATGTATAGTACAGTACAGTACTGTACTGTACACTGATTTTTTCGCTTCAGGCTACTGTACAGTACAGTACACTGTACTGTACACTGTACTGTACAGTACGTACTGTACTGTACAGTAAGGGTCTCTAGTGTACTGTACAGTGTACAGTGTACTGTATAGTAGATAAAATGAAATGTTTATTACCATGGAAACAGATGCTGTAGCCTGTAAACCTGTAAATCTTTTGGTCTTCATGTTATGCATGTTCATTTTGTATTTATAGTACTGTCTAGTAAATGATACGATATATATATAACGTAATCTAACGAATGATAGTCTATTGCATTCGAAACAACCGTGTCTCAGTCTTATTAGCTATAAATTGGTTACCACTGCAATATTTGGCGAATTAAACCCAGGTACTGGTTGCAAAAGTGACTAAAAATTATAAATTTTAAAATTTGATCACATAAATAGAAGAGTTGATCATATTAGCGTAATGCAGCGTATTAAAATTTGCCATATAGTAGATATAGTATACACGAATTTGATTATAAGTTTGTATAGTAAATACAGTAATTATTTTAGTATCAACACTAAAAGATCTGCAGTAAATGCCATGAGTGTAACTATAAGTAATCACTGTCAGTTTAAAACTAAATTTAGTTTATGACTTACGATTTTGCAATTATGATTTCATGTCTTTCTCATATTCCGTAGGTAATATGGCATCGAAGGATACCTCATCAGATCATGATGATCAAGAACGAAACGATTTAAATAAAGATCCTGATGCGGAAAGTGAGAATCTTCGCAGCGAAATAGTCGTTAAAGCTGAAGTGAATACAATAAACAAGAGTGAAAAAGATTTTGAACGCTCGCAAGAAAATGTTATCCACCCATTGGACAACGATCAACAAATAGCATACAAAAAAGAATCAGACATTTTCCAGATCGACCTTACTACTCAAACACAACAAACTGACATGAATCAGTCAGAAAATGATAACGATGCTGATGATGTTGATGCTTTAACAAGTAACGGTGATGTGACTATTAATCAGTCAGATGATGAAGATGAGTATAAGTCACATTCTGGTGGAAGTAGCAATGATAATGATAATATTCTAATCGATAATGAGCCAAAAACAGAAAGCATACCTGCAGATGTTCAATCATTAGTAAAAGACAGTAATCTTTCGCCTGGAGAATTGGATCCAGTTGGCGAAAGCTCTGCAGCTGGCGAGGCAGTAAAAAATGATCAAATTATCAAAGATGCAGATTCTGTTCAGCAACGAGAACTAAAAGAATTAGATCACTCAACGAAGAATGAAAATCTTGTTATCGGCGATACAGTAAACCAAGACGAAACTACGAGTGTTAACATAATTTCAGAGGACTTAAATCAAGATACTTCAATTAATGCGACTGACGATAAACTTCCAGTGACCACAAATAGCAACATATCCGCCAATGTAAGTTCTTCTTTGACTGATAAAAAAGTCATGGAAACAAATACTGCAGATAATGCCAATGATAGCAAAGATAGTAGGCAAATTGATAGACACGATCTAGAAAAGTTAGATCACCAAAGCGAAGGAACAAAGGAGATTGAACTCGACGCAGCTGTGACTAATGGTAAGTGAGGCTTGTTTGTTGGGTTGATGTCTTCATTATCTTGATTTCTTGAATTATTCTACTATAATTATGGTCTTTACAATACGTTATAGTTGTATGCTTTATCCAACCTGAAAATCAGCAAGTTGCAATTGGTGTACTCAGTACTTTTACGGCCGTTGCTGAGATTAAGAATGCTGTTGAAATAAAGACAAAGATTGATTCTAACCGCATGACCTTTTTTATTCAAGGTTTCATTTCTTAACTACACACGCGATGATAATCATGCCGGAATACTTGTGCTTTATATACTAAAACACCTTTAATTTATAGATGTATCCTATACTGATGATGTCAAGCTTTGTGATATGAATGTTACTATTGGCAATGCGTTACATTGTGACATACGCATAGACTATGTACCAACTAGAGCTCTAGAGTTTGTTATGCCTGACGTGTTAGAAGTAAAAATTAAAAATGGTAATCTGCCTTAGATATTTACTAATATTGATAACTATAGCAATAGATTCTTGTTCATTTTAAAGGTTATTGCTCATAATAATTTTGTAAATAGATGACGTCGATGACGTTGCTGTGAAAGTTCATATCCAGAAGTGCGCAAACTGTAAACCTTACCTGGGTGGATACAGAAGCCGTAAAACTGGTAAAGAATACCATCATGCTTCCATGCAAACGCGCCCTAAGCCTATTAAAGACAATGGGGTAAAATAAAGTTTTGTTACCGTTTAGCATTGCGCTAGTTTGGCTTGAAACTAAAATGATCTTCAAATAATTAGATTGTCAAGTACCATAGAGAAACCCAAACCGTAAAATCAAAAAACAAGTTTCAGCAGTCTACTAACGATACTGCGACACAAATGGTAAAATAGAATCTTTGCTTTGTTTATACTACTCGATTGAGTTTGATTGTATATAGCAGATTTCAATAGTCACTTTGATTGTTAGTAGGACACTTTATGAACCCGTCAATTTGATCATCATAGTAGACCATTTCTGTTCTTGCCTAATTTTCAACTATTTTGATAGACTACTGGTGGAACATATGTGGCAAATCTAACCGACAAATTAATTGCCCCTGGTAAATATTTAGAGGCAGATGTTTATCTTGAGAATAGATTACGCAAGGTAACCTTTGATCGTTATCAATACAATTACTTGAATACTAGGTAGGGTGCTTTACTGATTGATAGTATATCCTTATATTTTAGATAATTACCTTACAATCATATATAAGGAGGTGGTTAGCCAAAAACTACGTCAACATGATTCGAGCTCAAAGAGATACAAGGTTGGAATGGGAAAGGCAAGAAATTGAGAGAAAGAAATCAGAAAAGGAGGAAAGAATTCAACGAGAGTTACAACGTCGCACTAATCCGCGCACGAAGGAAGATTTTGATCTTTTATACTGTGCTCTTGAGAGTAAGTTTGCAATGTCTTGTGTATACAATTTACTTTAAGTTTGAAAACAAGCTCATATATTTTCAAAGTGAAAAGTAGTCATGCGTTATCAATTTCATAAGTGATATTAATAACAAATTAACAATAGAATGGCGTCAGGAGGAAATGTCTATAATTAACAAGAACAAAACTGGAGCTCAACGTAAGGCAGCTTTGGCTGCCTTGCTAGAACAAGAAACTCATCTAATAGCTTCTATTGATCAGCATAAAATTATTGCTGAACAAAACAATAGAGAGAGAAATACTCGTAAATTCTTAGATAAGGTAGAAAATGTACTATTGAGAAAGATCAATGAGGATTATCTTAATATTATTTAATTGACATGCGATTCATGTTAGGCTGCCGATGCTAAAAGGTGGATATCAGTTGATGGTAAGGTAACGGAAATGGATACGGCTTATACCATTCGAGCCAAGCAATTGCGGGACTTATATACTAGTATTGTCATGAAATACTTAACACAAGAAGAACGACTTGATGTTTTAATGACTTTAAAGCATACAGTTAAGGTTAGGCTAATTATTAATGTGAAAAAGCTATTTTTTATCATTGGAATAATACGAGTTAACGCGATTAGGAACATGATTGCAAACTAACACGAGAGATCGTAGAGCTAACAGATCGTGAAGCGGATTTATTGACACGCGGAGTAAAAGAAGAAAATTTAGAAGGTAAAGATACGAGAATTACTGCACAACACTTTTAGCTTGAGAATTTTATTTTTTTAAAAGTTAATAAATCTTGGATTTCACGATCCGAAGATAGGACGATTTGTTGAAGTACTAGATTCTTATTGGATAGCATTTATCTTATTTAGTGTTATTAAATTACATAGGTCTACGAAAGCGCATTTGTACTTTGTTTCTGGAATATGTTAAAAATCCAGAGTTTAATCCTGAAGCTGCTAGGCTATTGAAAGTGCCTACAGATTCAGCGCTTCTTCCGAATAGTATTGCCTTCTGTCCTAGTTGCAATCAGTATAAGCCGTCGACAGAATTTGTACTGACAAGTAATTCAAGGTTAGTTGAGTTGTTCCTTAACAATTAGATTTCGAAATTAATAAGGTCACATGATAAATTAATTACATTAGGTATTGTAGTTAATATCTTGCTTGAAGAATAATTATACTTGCTACAGATCAGTTGGAAAATGCCGAAGCTGTCAGAAATTAGATAATGATGCTAGGATGAGGCAGGATTTGTCTCTGTATCGTAAAATGCTACGGAAGATTCGTCAAATAGAGGAAGTATCTGATCCTCTTGCCCGTATTGTTTTCCTGTTACAAGTAAGATACTATTGCTTTAATTGGCTATCACGATGCATTTGTCTGATAACCCATAGTACATGGCAAGATACATTATATCATATTATAATTACCGAATAGGAATCGGATTTACGTTATTTGGTAGAGAATATATGGAATTCAAAAAGTGCTCTCAGTTCGGAGTCGGATCTATATGACATGATCTTAACTCGATGGGATAAACAACAGGAATGGTCTCCATGGAACTGCATATTATTATCATATGATGAAGCTGAAGCACATTTGAAGCTGGATTCTATCAGTGAGGTAAATCAGATTTTATTAGTAATGAAACTTTACAAATCTTTTATTCGTAACTGCATAAAAATGCTTTAGACATTTTAACACCTTGGAAGGCTTTTAAAATATAACAAAAATTTGCTTCATTGAGTGCTTATAACTTTATTGATACGATTTTTTGTTTCTGAATTGATAATACAGTCTTACAGTGCCCCCTTTATACAAAAGATTCATTACAAGCATGTTTTGGCCCGTAATCATTTTTCAAATTTACCAAAAATGGCAAAATCTTTTAGTAAGAAAACAGTTTCTAAGCAGTCTTCCAGAATTGTTCCTAAAGCTTTACCAACTATTTACCCAAAGTCGAAAAAAGACAAAAGCATTTCAGAAAATACAACGTTAAGCGGTAGTAGCGAAGTCGATGTTAATTAAAATATACATAATACGAAAAAACTAATGAAAAGCTATACTCGCATATATTTTAGTCTCAATTTAAGCCTTGATTGCTTATAATTGTGAAATAATAATTTAAATCAAAAGCTTAAGTTAACCAAGGCAGTATGTCAATGTTCGTACAATCGATACCGAAGTATGTACCACTACAGTACAATTATATCCTTTTATTTGGGATTGCTTCGAAAAATTGTATGACGTAAACTCCTACACGAACTTGTGTTGGAGGAAATCACTGAAATTATTGTGTATAATTTGTTGTTAAGCTAAAAGAATCATTGACATGACTAAGGTGAAACTGTATGTATATATATATATATAAAGGCAAAGTCTTCTTTTTAGATCAGCTATTGAACTATTTTGTTTAAACATTTTACATATGTACGTATTATGGACATTGGGTTTATACGTACACTTTTAAGAAATGGATAAAGTCAATACACCCTTATATTATAACTAGACTTGCCTTGTCTTTAATGACACTTTATGTTTGAGTAGTCCTATTGTGAGAAATGATAGCGCGAGTTGCTAAATTTGATAAGTGCTCACTGATAGCGTTTAACATCAATAAAAGTTCAAACTAAGTGTTGCTAATTCTTCGGATATTGGACGCAAAATTTGCGTATGACTTACAGTTGTAATGTATTAAGCTGCATAACAAGAGGGAAAAGATTTTCGGTGGATCTAACTTTAGTTAAGGTATCACACATAAATGCCGTAGTTACAAATTGATTTATTGAATTTTAAAATTTGCAATATACTGTATGATTAACTTGCAACTCTTAACCTTCTACAAGTCAGTCGCTGTATAACTGGAAGCATACCAATTGATCGTTGTTAGCTTAATCGAGATATCCTGAAATGAATATTGATGAGACGAAATTCGATACTATCGATAATATAACACTTATTGTATAAGTTGCGAATTTATTAGTAAAATCACAGTACGCAAACATAATATTAAGCTTATAATAACGTCTTAAATCGTATTTAGAAAAATTAGGAATTTATTATAACGACCAAAAACCTATAGGATGCAGATTACTGGTCCGTTGTTAGCTATATTTCTCTATGTTCAAAATACTTTTACAATATAGAGTAATTATTGCTTAAAAAAGTATATCCATGTTTGATGCTTTATACCCTGACTGCTGGATTATAATTCTAGACAGACGATAGTTGTCTGTAAACAGTAGTTTGGGTTTCACATACGAGTATTTCTTAGTCATACTGTAGTTAGTGAAAAAATATAAGCGATAATAAATAAATTTAATATATAGTGCTAAGATGGCATCAGAAATGCATAATAATTAATAATTGATTATTTTTGCGAAGACGAATTACTTGGAAAAGCTTAGTTTATGAATATAACGACCCACTAAAATGGTCGTTGTGTTGCTTTCGCACAAATAGTACCAATTCAGGTAGAATTGCTACGGCGATACCGCAGATCACAAATAGCTCATTTATAAAACTAGATCATAATTTAATACAGAAATTTAGATCCGTTTCGCGGCTAAGATCTTCATTGTAACAGATACTTAAAGAAAATTCCGTTTTAAATCTACAAGTGAAACAGGTAAAATTTCTTAGTGTACTGGTACAGGCTGTAGTTACGAACCGTAAGGTATATGTATGTAAGACTGTTGTGCTGGTCTCAGCGATATGAAAGTCGAATATGAGAAATAAATAAAAAAATTTTATGCCATATTTCCTGCAAAGACTTCAATTAAACAGTAGGTAAAGCAGCGGTGGTCAAATGTTATGTGCAGAAATAGGTAGTAGCACTTGTTGTTCCTATATTTGTTGAAGTTGTTAGCGAAAAATCCACGTATAACTATTACAGTACTAGAGCTGAAAGCATAGTTAAATATAGCGAGCCAAGCAATTAAACAACTGCAAAATTCTTCGTCAAACGCGCGTTTCAAAAAGTGCCTACGGTAGAAGCGAATACGTCATACAAGCGTAAGCATATTATACTGTGCATAGCGTGCCGTTCTACCAAGGAAAGCTATTACAATGCTATAAACTCAACTGTACTACATATTGCTTTGACATCTACTCTGACTTATTTTCATGTTTAATTTACAACACTTTATAACCAAATTTACCACACGTGATATACCTACCGGAAGATCAGTTCCTCTGTTTTCAATTTCTAATTCGTGTTTTCTTTGCAACTGTTAATAAAATTGCGAAAAGTAACCCTTAAAGTATTCAGCAGTGGCGGGTAAATAATGTAATCGTTATTGTAACGATATATCAGAATTACCACTTTAACGTTATATTCATCAACCGCGTAGACAGCAGCATCGTGCAGAGTAACAAACAGGCTATTTTTACCACACTTTGCAACGAATCCGCCGTTTTCAAGCATCTTACGAACGTGCCCTATAGACATATTACATCTAAAAGTTATCTGATGGCAACGCACGTAATCTGCTATTAAAATATTAGGAAGAACTCTTCCAAGGACATTCGTACTTACATTTACATCCCGCTAGCAAAAATTTTATATCTTCAACTTTATACTCTAGAGCGATCTTAATATTAAAGATGACTTATGTAGAGATATAATACGAACAAAACCTTTAATTCTGAGACAGTATTGCATTTTCATACCTGGCTAAGTGTAGAGACAGCTACGGAATCAATGTAATTGAAGGTGCTGCAATCAACTATGACAGTATGTATCGGATAGGCATTCGGATCAATATTAGAACTGTCGCTTATAGTAATTCCAGTATCTTCTGCTCCAAAATATGAATTATTTGCCGTATCCATATTACTATGCTGCAAATATTCTAAATTCTGTGTGATACAGCGTCGAAGCAGACTCAGTTTCAGCGTAGCTGACATTTAATAAATGTAAGGTCATAAGGTAAAGCGAATGGTTTTCTTACCCCAGAAGTTACAATACGATTTCGAAGATCGTACTGCAATTCCATTGCCGTTCTATCTGTAGGGCAAAGTCCAGTTATCTCATAAAGAGTGTATTTAAAGTGTTCCGTATTAGCAAAATACAAGGACGACTCGAAACGAAACATCTTGACTCCTGGTACCTCCTCAACCTAGTAATTAAGAAATTATATGAATATTTTATTTCGCAAAATGGACGTTATTGGTAAGGTTTTTGGCAATGCTTGCTAAAGGCGTATCTTATCGGCGAAAAGCACGGAAAGAACTTTGAGTATAATATTACCCCTTCACTTACCGCAGCATATTTTTTAATATCTCTGTAAAGGTCGGTATTTGGTATTCGGCCAAGCAGGCAGTAATATGGTCTAAGTATATATAATTAATTTAGCTAAATAAGTACATATACTTACATTTCGAGATAAAGTAGGAATTGTCTTTACCTTGACGTTCTAAAGATAACAGTCAGAAGGGCAATAGCAACGCCAATTAATAAACCGATATCAACTCCCAGTAGAAAAACGCTGCCGAATGTTACCATCCATATGATCTTACCATTGTATACAAAACAGGAAAGAATAATAAATTTTCCATTACTTAGGACTAAATTTTTATAATAACTTACAGCATCTATAACAGAAATTCGCCAAAGTTGAAAGAAGTGGGTAACTTGCATTAGCAGTCCTTTCAACGCCACCAAAACAATAGAGCCCAAAATAGTATGTGGTAAAAATTGAAATGCGGGAGCAATGAGGAGTAACACGATCAATACGATAAAGCACGACACCAAGCTGGCAACCTGGATATTAAATTTAGAAAAATGCTATAGGATATACTGTATAAAGTGTTAATGTAGAAGCTCATGATATTTACCTGAGTTTTACCACCCAAGTTATCCTGTACAGCAGAACGCGATAACGAACCACTAGCAACAAAGCAAGAAAAAAAAGAACCAAAGATATTCGATAACCCATACGCAATCAGTTCCTAGTATTATGAAATAGAAATATAAAGAAACTGATTAATTTTCTAACACTATTGTGTTTAACGATTATTTTGAAGGGAAATTATTACTTTCAATAGTAAATGGAGGCAATAGTAGTTGAATTGATTTAGTTAAAGTAAAAAAATAATTAAATTTATCAATGAAACTAGATAACTAACATTCTAAAATTGGATGAAATTATGGTCTACCTGGTTAGAATCGGTAGGGTAGCCATGCTTCTTTTGAAACACTTTAACCAACGAAATTGAAACTGCAAACGACACTACAGAAATCGTGATTGCATCACGAAACATTGTACCCATTAATTCAAACGGTGGAGCAGATGGAGGGGGTAATCTATGACGCCAATTTTTTGATTTACGTTACAAATTTAATATTGAAAATCGGATTTCATAGCAACTTGATATACATATGTAATTTTCTATTACAATTTTTGTGGTAACAAGCATTTGCAATAATTTTAATTAAAAGTAACAATCCAAACACCACCAAAATTCGGGCAGAAAAAGCTCCTATATTTTTATGCTAGAATGTAGTATTGTGCAGCAGTATAGTTTTACCCGGTTGGTATATTTCCGATAATTTTGATATTATGAGGTTTATCGCCTAATTTACCAAGATAAGACGCTAGTGTGCCAGCAATTACCTATGGTATAGCAACAGTTTCGTATACGTTAAAATATGTAGAGTATTATAAGTTCAACGCCATGACCAGTAGTATTGCGCCTGAAATAATTATCGCTATCTTTTCACGAAAAGTTATGTAAGATTCCGATTGAAGTCGCTAAATCGCACTTACGACGAGAAGTTCCGCTGGTATTGGAAACGGTAATTTATTTTTATATTTTTCGTTTAATTTTTTCATTACAAGTAGACTTATGATGCATAGAATTCCCATAACCAAGGAAATCCAGTTCGTCCGACTGATGTTTGCGAACAAGTAGTAATAGGTCTAAAATGCAAGTCGTTAACAATCTATCAGTCGTAATTACATAATACTTTGTGTTGTTTATAAAAAGCAGAAATAAAATTTTCCGTGCTATAAACCAAGAGATTATTGAGGCAATAGTTACCCTTGGTATAACGAATGCACCACTGTAGCGAGGCACAGAAATACCGAATACATGTTTAATTTGACTTGTAAAAACATGACAAGCCGCTCCACAAGTAAATCCACTTACCAAGGGATCTGATAAATAGATTGTGACGAAACCTAAACGTAGGAGTCCCATCAATAACTAAAGGGTTATGTAGATCAATTAGTAAGGTTAAATGCAGTGCAATAAAGAGATATGCTTATGGTTCAATTATTTCAAGAAATTTTAATATCTCACCATGATAACGCCTACAAGGAAAGTTAAAGCTACAGCTGCTCCTAATTTTTGTAAATCTTGTGGGTTGGTAGTAGTTACAAATGTGTTCGACGATGTTGCGATAGTTACATTGTCAACGCCAGTAGCTGCAGCGATCGTGGATATTACAGTAGTTACATCAGAATCCTTGGTAGTCACTAAAGTGGTAGTGTTAAGAATATTTACAGTGGACGTAGGCGAGGTTAATGCAGCTTGATAAGCTTGTGAGTTGATCGAATTTTGGACGCCTTCAGCAACCAAGAGGGAAATTACAGCAAACGTTCCTATTTTATGAATGTATGGAAGTAAATAGTAGGTAAGATCTATTCCATACAGCCATTAATTATATAAGTAATTTATGGTAACTGTTGCATCGTTATGTGCTAATGTGAATAATAATACTGATCATAATATAATCAGGAGCATCAGATGTCGTAATGAAACAATTAGCATGAGTGTACAAATCAATTTGTGAAATATCTCTTAAAGAGTCATGTTATGTAATGAAATCACTGAAACACAGTAGAGAAACAAAATAGGCGATCAAGTAGAAACAATTGTACAATAGTACTTATATTATAAATTAAATTTGTACTGAATACTCGTGAAGTCTGTAAGATAGGCTTGAAAGTACTTGTCAAACGCATATGGTAACTGATTGGCACATTTTATGTTATAGCTATTTTACAGACTATTTCTAGAAAATTCATATTCACTTGCGGAAATGAGATATAGATCGTTTCAGAGGGTTATAAGGCTTACAGGCTTACAGTATAGAGCGTAAACGGATATATGGCTTTTTTATTATTTTTAAAGGGCTACTATTGCAGTATCCGTTTGACTGATTCCTTTTATACTAAGTGCATAAAATTAATACCATGGTCAACGCAAACAGATTACGAATATAAATTACGAATATAGATTAAGACTACTATTTTACCTATTGATATATGTCTAGATGTCCCGAATAAAGTATAAATTATGACAGGAAAGAACGAGGTATAGAGTCCTGTGATCGGTTGGAGGGTAGTAAGCATTGCATATGCCAAACCTATAGACACAATACAATAACAAATATTTGAGACTGTTATTCCAACGTAAATGCAGTACATTTCATTGCATGAATGACTAGTAGGAGGTGTATATTGCTCATATTTCATGAATGATTCAATTTATGTATTACATTGCTAGTTCGATATTCAAAGTCTATAGTTTAATTGATTTATTTCGACGTTAATAGTGTATGGTTAGTTTCGTGAGCTCGAGGAATGAATAGGTTCAATTTGGTTACAAAGTATCTGACTTTAACAATAAGGTAGTTTAGTAGTTTGGTAATCCAATAATGAGAATAAAAATACTATCCGCAGTATTGCAAATATTGTACTGTAATCCTAGTCGAGAATTTATAGATCCTGATTTCTTCTATCCAATCATGCAATGAACGAGTATTGTATAATGCTAAAGCATACATTACAGTATCGAGAATTACAATAAGTGGGACAACTGGTTAGAATGAATTAAACGTCCTATGATGAGAAAATCAGCGTACACCATCAATGCTATTGGTGATGTGATAAATTTATCTTGACTGATATTCAATACGATTCACCTTGAGGGATTTGCATGATACCAACTGTTAAACCAGCGGCAATGTCGCCACCAAGATTTTGACGTCTGTCATACTTTGGTAACCAACTTAGTATTGGGATAAAGGAAACGAGAAATTCCATACACGAACACTTGAAGCAGTTACGTAAACCTAATCTGTCTAATGAGGATTTAGCCCTAGGTGGACGTGGCTCAAATCCTTCATCGAATTGTGATTCTGTATAAACTGGTCGAACCACAGAAGTGGCAATATTAATTTCTTCTTCATCCTCATTGGGATTCTTGCGTCTCATTCTCCTATCAGTAAGATCAACCGACAACAGTTGATTTGGACTGCCGTTTCTTGTATTCTCATTCAAGAATGATTTAATAGGCAGTCCTTCTGGATGAGATAGGTAACAGCGAACTTTTTTGGTTCTCACTGTACGTTGTATCGCCTGATCGCTTGCTTCAGCTCCATTCTGGTTGGCATTAGCTACGCGTACGTTCTCATTGACTTTTTTCCTCATTGCATGTAGACGATTTGATATTCTATTGGCTAACAATTAACTAGCATATGTTTCATTGATAAAGCCAACAAGACTTGATTGAATATGGTATTATCGGAAAAGAGAAGGCATATTGCTCCTTTCTGAATCAGGCTACCGCATTGCTACTACAGAACGTGTTATATATATACTGTATATGTTACCATGTACAGAACACGAATACCTCCTAATGGCACGAAATCATACCGATTTATGGTATACGATGACTCAAAGGTTGACGTTGGCAGGCCAGGCCAGGCCTGTACAGTATATTGTACCATTACTGTTATACAGTGTACAGTACACTGTACTGTAGTATTGTCATTATTGTGGATGATAGAGCATGATACTGTACTGTACACTGTACTGTAGTGCTTTATGGCTTTATTCTATATACGGTGTGTGTCAAAATATTTTGTCACTTTGAAAAGAATCAACCAGTGATCTTAATAAGCAAATACTGATTAATAGTCGTTACATTCCATAGCCTTTTTCAGAATCTCTCCATCAACCATTCTAATATATCATTCTATGATTCTGTTAAATGAGCACATTATCGTAAACCGTCAGTAAAGCGACGGGAGTTTGCACTAGTAATTATTAAGCTTTGAAGCTTTCTTGTATTGGACGGTCAGGTATACCTAGGGTGGATATCCAAATGCATGAGGCAACAATATAATATTCGGAGAGCTTGCTTGCTTACGCTGCTAGCTCAAGGTCTGATGCACAACGTAAATGTGCTAGAATATTTTCATTTTGCAATAGATAGTCTATGTCAGGACGATCAATTTTACTTTGATACAATCCGAGTGTCCAGCTTTTGTAGTACTGTAGTGTGCTACTGATATGAGATGCATTTTATACGTATACAGTAAAACTACTCAGCTCAGATTACAACAGTACATGGTACAAGACAGTGAACGAGAGTTGATAAAGTTGAAAGTTCAATAGCAATAGTATCAATCCTGGTGTGTAATATCGTCACTATCATACACTACCGAAATTGGATGACCGATACGAAGATGCGACAAAGTTGAAAGTTCAGTTCTTATTTGTGAATCTGTCAAAAGCGCAATCATGCTAGTGCACTGCGCAGTACTGTAAGATCATGTGAAGTTCATGGACTTTGGCAGGCGCATTCCACAATAAATTTTGTACTGTACTGTTAATTAATTAAGAATTTTAATTTAAATTAACAGTACAGTACTGTACGTAGTGTACAGTACATACACTGTACAGTACTGTACTGTACTGTACAGTACACTACTGTAGGTTCAATTTTTTTGTACTGTACTGTACTGTACTGTACAGTACAGCAGACTGAGCAGAGTTTTGCTAAAGGATCACACTGCAGACAACCTGCAAGAATACAGTCACATTGACCCGACGTCCTACAGTATCAAGTTACACATTGCACTGTACTGTACAGTATTTCCACGCCGGCCACGCCCCACTGATGCCGTGCTTCAGCAACGAGGGTACTTAACCGGCTAAAGCTTAGGGTTACGTGCGACATTACAACACTTGTAGTGTATAGCAACTAAAAGTAGACTTTCTAAAGATTTGACCTAACTACTCGGTATCCAGCACTTACCAAAGTAATAATTTCCAGACATTGAGATCATTGCGTAGAAATTGAATGCTAATCTTTTTCTCTTAGAAATGTCTTCAACGAAAGATAAACGAGGAGTGCAGATGAATAAACCATCACCGATAAAGGATTTCATCTCCGGAGGTATCGGTGGGATGGCGATTGTATCAAGTGGTCATCCGCTAGACACGATAAAAGTATAGAGTATAGTTAGGATTATGGTATACATATCCGTTTTTGTTACGCTCCTAATATTATTATATGCTATAAGTCATTGATATTCCCAATATAATATGTATCGCGTGCATATATATATATACTGTACATAGTTTGTAGAAATGATAAATCGCATGTGCCATATCATCGGAAATGCATTTACAGGTCGTATTTCAGTTGAAAATACTGTCAATATTATACTATTGATTTTGCCCTAATGGTTTCTGTGCCGCTTGTTTCTACTGTATAGGTTATTGATAGGTGATAGTTTACAGTACAGTTGTACACACGTAAATACTCAGCTGTTTATAATTATTATTATATTTGCAAACACGATTATGTTCTGTTACGATTAAATAACTAAATTAAAATTGATGATACTTATACGGTATACGTTGTATATATGACCTTTAGGTTCGACTGCAAACGCAACCAAAGTTAAAGCCAGGCGAGAAGCCAAAATACTCAGGGACTTTGGATTGTTTTAAAACGACCATAAGGAATGAAGTACAGTGAAATAATATGACTTTATGACGTAAATTAGCTTTGTGAAACAGTGCTTTATTACGGCGTTTAATACTTTTTGTAATTGAATGAGCGTACTCTAGTTTAAATGCTTTTTGAGAAACAATTAAAGTATTGAATTTGATATATTTGTAAAGGGTTTAAGAGGATTATATAAAGGCATGGCTGCGCCTCTAATTGGAGTAACACCTATGTTCGCCGTTTGCTTTTTTGGGTTTGGTATCGGAAAAAAACTGCAAATGAAATCTGAAAATGATTCATTGAAGTAATACATTTATATAGATTATGATACTCGGAGTGGATGTGCATACGTTTCTTGTTAACTAGTCCTATCATAGCTCCTTTCAGATATTCAATGCTGGGATGCTATCTGGACTACTTACTACTGGCATTATGGCGCCTGGGGAGAGAATAAAGTGCTTAATGCAAGTAAGGTAGTACTGTGACAATGCTAGTGTAAGCGGGGATTGATCACATTTTATGATATTTTATCAACTTCTAATCCTGTAAATGATATCCGTTTAGCAAATATAAATATTTGTCAATGAAACTTTTCTGATAGATACAATCCGATTCGGGGAGTGCAAAATATGCTGGGCCTTTAGACTGTGCTAAGCAACTGTATCGTGAATCAGGAATTCGTGGCATCTACAAAGGCACATGTGCAACTTTACTACGAGGTAATGCTACACTAAGTATACTTGTAACTCAACATTTGTCGCTACTAGGGACTGCCCTTGTTGCTACAGTAGTGGAAAGAGTAAGTATCTTGAATGTTAAATTGCTAGCGCTATATTCGTGGCTGATAGCATGTAGCATAGAAAATATTTTCTGGTTATTGTTTCGAAATTGCCTTGAGGAGTGTTATCTTGACACGTACATGGCATATCATACACCTTTCTAAAGTTGCAAAATTACGAGATTGCATCATCGAAATTTTCTCACGTACATTGATAGACGTGCCAGCTACTGGAGCTTACTTTACCTCATATGAGCTACTATTGAATACGCTAACACCTGAGGGAAAAAGCAGGTCTGATTTGGGGCCTTTTCGTGTATTGTTTGCCGGCGGTTAGTAACTTTAAGCTGCGCATGGAAAATATAACATTTTGGTTTATTAACCGACAAATATAAATCGATCGTGATCAACTGTAGGAATGGCAGGTGTTTTTAACTGGATGGTCGCACTACCGGCAGATACACTGAAATCTCGGTTGCAAACAGGTAGGGTGATATAATGCCATATACGTATATTGTATAATATTTGAATTATTTGCGTATTAGTATACCTATAATATATAACATGTGCAATATTTTTGTGTTATTAGTGTCCACTTATACATACGTATACTAACGTAGTGTAAGATTCTTTTGTGTGTCGAATTAATTATATTCGAAAGTTTAGGTTATTTTCTTGATGACTTTCATATTTATATGATATTATTTAAGCTCCGGAGGGGAAGTATCCGCGTGGTGTTAGAGATGTTTTTCGCGAGTTGGTAGGTCGCGATTTAATTTACTGCTAAGTAATGTGAGGATCGTTTCGCTTATATTGATTGCATTCTTTCGATATTCGTTGGATGTAGATAAGAGAGGAAGGTGTAGGAGCGCTATATAAGGGCATTACGCCTGTAATGTTAAGAGCTTTTCCAGCAAATGCAGTACGTAATACAGATAGTCATGATTATGTGGAATTGCTTTATTATTGCAAAGAGCTTTCTATTTATTATCTACTTATAGATATACGTAAATCACTAATTACTGCACTTGCTTATCATAGGCATGTTTCCTAGCTGTAGAGATTACCATGAAAATTTTAAATTGGATTGCGCCGAATCTCTAATCTAGAACATAATCGTCGGCTTGTTGCTAATAATCATGATTTCACGAATTAATTTAAGCTTATGTATGTTTTGATATATACATTTTATATATTCGAATAATAAAGTTACTATTGAGGCCTACAACTGCAGCTGAATAAGAATTCTTGGACAGTGAGTCATTAATGAGATGATAAATCTTTCGTCTTTTGATTCTCCGAAATTAGAGGCTGAAACTGTCGAATTCTACTATTAACTTTCGTTTACAATCCATAAAGTACTTAATCATTTTCATTTTCTTTGGGTAGTTTTAATAATGCACGTTTTACGAAGCTATTTGTGTGTTACTGTACTGGAATGCATACATTCAAAGTCCATAGATGGTAAACCTAGTCTTTCTTTGGTATTACCCGATTTTCAAACCGGCGCAATGTTTGTGTATTCAAATACCTCCAGTCCTTTCATCTTTCAGATAGTATAGGCAAATCAAATGAATTACCTTACTGTTTGAAAGAGCATTCTGCAAAATGGAGATGATTATGCACTGTAGTCTGTAGCATGATAGCCTTATTATGTGTTGTACATTGTATGCACCTGAAAGTAGCAGCATCTTTCTGTAATGCCGAATAGGATATTGCATTTAATTCTCAATTTATAATTAAGATCAACAACAATTTTTAGGAATAAATTACGGGTATTTTTCTCTAATACTACACGTTTAATAAATGTCGCATTTTGTATCCTGCGTCAATCTATAACATCGTATAGTCTTTATCTCATAAAGACACTTAATAGAGAATCGTATGGTGAAATTTGTGCGTTAACTAATTTTTTTAGATAAGCCTAAACGGCTGCAGAAAAGAGGCTTTATTGTTTATTTGATGAACTATCTCATCCCCTGCAGCGCGCTTAAATTACTGTTTCAGATGAGCAAACTTGTGAAAGATCTTTGTGATACATTTATTGGTGGCTCAATGTACTTTAATATACAAAGTTTAACTGGATTTGCTACTAAGATATTAAACGATGCACTCATCCAATTTCTGAAGCTTTTATGCGGTTTTGTATTGTTTTATACTTATTAAAGTCATGACATGCGTACATGAATGTACAGGTATGCTCGTAGATTATATTCGATTAGATATATTATTGATGTAGTACAAGTGAATAACATTTTATTATACAAGTATTTAAAACGCTCAGTAGGAATTGCTACCTGCCTATATGCTGCATGCAAGAGACTACGGAAAAAGATTTTCACGTTTTTTTTTTTTGCATGCAATGGGACTGGAAACGAGCTGAAAGGCAATCAATTGCTATCGAAACAGATTTAAGAAATTATGGCGAGTCAACCCTTTAATTAAAGTTTGTTTCAAGTGCTGTAGTTAAGTCACACTCATAATATATATGTTATATACGTATAATTCCAGGAATAACCAGCTATTTACTACAAACAGTACAGTTCACAGTGCAAGTGTAGATCATAGGTCAGGTCCGAATGAAAATAGGCTTAAATTGCAAAAAGTGCTTTATTATATCATTAATTAACCATTTGCATTTGCAATAAATTCAAACTGAAGTGAGTTTAACAGAACAAACTCTTAATAGTACGATTTCATATAGTAACTTTATTTCGTATTTTGACGGAGAAAATTATAGTAATTCTTTGTGTAAGTTAAACTGCAGATATCGTTTTGATAATAAACACTGACGTAACAAATACATTTTCAAAAGCAGATAAGAAAATCGTTTAACAAGAGACCTTGTAATCAGTTTCAATTTTAATTTCGAAAATAAGGCATGAGTGCGAATTATTTCTTTTGAATAATAAACTTGTTGCAACTTGGAAATATAACTTTAATTAGAGCGTACAGCTCATTTCAATATCTTTGCGTGCGTAATAGATCATAACCTCCATAATTAACTCCTAACAACCGGATCAAATTTATACATTTTTACACAGAATCGATTTTGTGAAGTAAACATCTACTATACTCATACAATCTAATAATCTCGGGAAATGAACAATGTCTGCAAACACTACAGCAAAGCAACCGCAGTTATAGTATTTGCAGAAAAGTGGAAGACAACTTCTACATATTGTGACCAGACATAATATTCGCAGTATGCTGAGGTGCAAGTAGGCCAATCCTTTGCTTTTGTTTTCTCTGTTCCATCATCTATTTTAATTTAAATTAACAAAAAGAACGTAGATAGTAACTATGCAGTATTGCCAAAAAAGATTTATTTCTACTAGTCGAAGGTACCTGATCTTTCAATTCATTGAGCTGTTGAGATAAGTTAAGGACTAGAGTATTGGTTGCCTCTAACTGATTTTGTAAGTTTCTCAGTTCGTTTTGCTCACTGTCGATTTCCTCGACTGAGAGTGACATAGCTCGCATCCGGGGAAACCAGTCCAAGTCATGGCGCTATACAAGTATAAAATAAAATTTATCAAGGAATGCTGATAAGTGTCTTGTTTCATATTCATCGTCTAGGAATGTACCTTTATCATTTCGTATACATAACTTTCAGGACCGGTAAATTCAGTTGGATCTTTAACTCTGACTAATACAATGAAGTACAAATAATGCCACATATTGTGTTCTTCTTTTGTGTGTTCCTCAAAAGTGACTGATTTATTATCAAAGTTTGCTCTGTCGAGACCTATGATTAGTAAATATTTTAGTTTTTAAAATATATTGTTTTACCAACCGCTGAAGAATCTTACCGCAGATAAAGCATGTATTTTTCAGAATTTCTTCTTTCTGCTGTTTCTCACTTCTCAAATCAGCAAAAGTGTCGATGATTACACCAAAGATGAGATTCAACACGATGATAATAACAATAAAGAAGAAAAGGAGGTCGTAAACAACGCGGCCGACAAAAAGAGGCTCCTAAAAGAAGTAAGAAAAGGTTAAATCTCTATTGTAAAGTTTAGTTGTAATAAAAATCCGGTAAACTCTGCATTTCAGCAATTACTCTTGAAGAAGGCTTTCTAAGAACATCGCCTATACCACCACCATTTCTGAGACCCTGGTTCAAAGTAGTGATAATGCACATCAACAATGTGTCACAAGCTCTCTCTTTATCCGAATCGTATTCTATTTCGTCATCGTCGTCCTCTTGCCCTTTCATAACTGTGGCAAATTTTATATTGCGATCGTTATGCAAAAGAAGGCTAGTTAAAGTCTTCTTGCCATTAACAGGGGCTTCTTTACAACTACCATCGGGGCAAGAGCCAGAAGAACTATTTTTGGCCTTTTTAATAACTCTCTGTTCAGATTCTATTATAAAGTCATCCTTAAGATACAGGAATCCAACAATTGAAAATAAGTAAACCAAAATTAAGGCAAGCAGAGCTGTCAGTAATATTGAACGGCCGTTTCTAGTTACGCTTTTTATCACATTAATGAGAGTTTCTTCCCGATAGACCACGTCGAATAACTAATGAAATTATATTTATATTAGACAGAGAGAGAAACTGTATGTTTAAATTTGTCGAGAAGATTAATTGAAAGATTATAAAATACTATAAACATTCTAACTCACCAATAAGCTATAAAAGAATTCATGAACGCATAAGCCCAGGATGCAAATAATTAAATAAACTAGGTGATATATTAATTCTACGTCGCTTAGTAGCTGCCAGTATCCTTTCGAGATCTTTCCTTTGTTGGCTAGCCAACTTACCATAAACGTAATCTTGACCGTTACCTAGTAGTGAAAGTAGTGAAGCACCGTTAAACTGGAACAAAGGTAGTATAAGCGTGATAACATGTCAAAGACGGCAAGAAATTAACAGTCTACCACTTCGATAGCTATACACTGTTATACAAATAGTAACTAGTTACTTATAGGACAGATATGATTTTACTGTCTGAGGTAAGTCAAAAATCATAATAGGGTCATGTATTACAATTACTATCAGTATACAGTATTTCCCTTTTAAACATACATTTAGCAATCCTAGCAACGCCACTGTCGCATCTAGTCCTACTGAAAATATTAGGCGTAAGATAGTCGAGCCAATAAACGTTCGAATGCCAGATGGACGGGGTGCAGTAAGAATTACTGCTAAAGAAATTATCATTGCAGTCCACACTAAAAGCGACAACCTGGGATCCAGATCTAAATTGCATTTGTAAAAGTGTCAATTCAAACAATGAAGTAGTGATTCATCGTGGTCAGAAATTTTAAGACGTTTACCTCGAGTATTGACTGAAAAGGGATAAAAAAAAGCTACGAAAAGATTAATTAGGACAGCAAAGTAGAAGCAAATGTTTCCCCAAACAGTCATTTGGCTGCTAAACCAAAAAAATATTCGGTGACCTATATAGAACAGGATGAACAGGATAAGTAAAACGTAACGGCTGTCAGCTAAAGATTAACTTTTACTTCTTAGTTTCTTCTGCCACTGCATTTCCTCAAACATATCATCTCCCTTTAGAAAGAAATCTGAAATCTATAGAAAGTTTGTGTTACAATTTGAGCTACAATTTTTTTATAAATAGCAAAGGAATACCGGATGGTTACCTTACTGCCCTGGTCGTCTCGTTCAGCTGTATGGTATACTCTGTTCTTAGTTTCTTCTGTTAAATATTCACATAATGGAGGCACCGGGAAAACAATCCTTTCCAGAGTACGGTCTTGTCTCACGATCTACAGGTAGACCAGTAGAGTGTTAGTAATTAATCAAGAATGAAACAGTATCTATGATAACAACATTAGTGAACCTCAATCTGGGCGGTATGCGAGGCGTAGTACTGTAGAGCTCCTTCCTGGGCATTTACAACTTCGTCCTCTGGATCACTTTTTAGCAGCGACTGCAGGTCTTTATTGTGCTGAACCAACTAATCATTTAGGTAAAGTTTAAGCCTGTTAGTAACAAGAAAAATAGCGAACTCATCTACTAGCTACTCATACCTGATGCGCAAGGATAAATATATTATGTCCGACTTCCAGTGGTGAAATTTGGTTTTCTTCATCGTCTTCACCAATATCAATTTTTGCTCTTTCACTCATTCCTTGTTTGTAGGCTTGTCGACAAACATCAACCTAAAAATTTGGAGTGATATTGATGAAATTGTACAGTTAATTTGCTCAATTATGACATAAGAATATATAACCTAATCAGAACGTAGATAAAATTAATCAATTAGGACATAAGAATATGTAATCAAAGAGGATAAATATACCAATTGCTTCGGACTAATATGCAGTAGAATACGGTCGGCATTTTCGCTATCATGTCTGCTTTCCATGACCGCTAACAGTAGCTTTGAGGCATTATTCTAGTATCATAGTAATATACCATAGAATAGAGTTAAAACAAATAAATAACACTTAACTTTAAAGAAAGCATACTTTAAGCTCCAGCACCAAATCCATGCGATGTTTTCCAAGTGGATTAATGTCATTTAAAACGAGGGCAGTTATGATGTCAATTCCGTTAGATTCATGCGATGCGATACAGTTCTATTTATGTAAATTCAATTTTGAAGAATTTAATTATAGTCAACTCTCAAAAATTAGTCCATTGAGTGTTGGTAATTGAAAGCAAACGCATTACTTGATTTTCGTGACAAGGACCCTGACAATACTCTGTTAAGCTCTCTAGGCACTGATTAATAAGACCAACATTATGCTCATTGATGTACAAGCCGAGAAGCCCTAAACCCCCACTGGTACTGCCACAAATACAGTCTAAAAATTGCAACGCTTCCAGAACAAGGTTATAGTTGGTCTTATTATCCTGCTTCCGAATATAGTTCTAAACAGTTATAAGGATTAACGAAAGCATAAATTAATCGACAGGATCATTGTCCGCTTTATCCAAATGCGAACATGTAGTGTATCGCTATACAACATTCGGTAAAGGTAAGGAAGTATCATTACCTGTAAGTCTAGATTGTGGTTTTCACATAGTAACTGCAAGAAGCGTAAAATCGGACCCATGCACATTATTTCAGGCGCCATCATGGCTTTTTTCGCATCACTTTTTAAATTTTGGACTCCCGTTCCGGCTAACATTTCTGATGAAACTGCTCCACTACTACTAGATAAATTATGACCAGAAGATCTAGTGTTACTACCATTGCCTTGAGTGCCGTAGTTTGACTTTTGTCCATCAGTAACTGGAACGCAAGCGAATGACAAATGTTTTTTAGAGTTTTAGCCAAACGGAATCGATGCAAATACTAAAGTTACATGGGACTATCACAAGTATTGCCTACCTTGGTCGGTAGTCATTAAGCTAATACTATTTTTTATTTCTAATTGCGCTTCTTTCATTCTATCGCAAATGCATTTGAAAAAGGCTTCGGATTTCGATTGGCAAAATCGGTCAAAAAAGGACGCCTATTTTAAGAAGGGAGTTATGTAATCACTTCAAATGCATATCTAAATCTAGAATATTGAAACAATGTAAAAATTTAAAGCTTTAAGGTAACCTGTATAACACTATTTCCTCCTTCCAAAAGAGCAATTCCAAGCTCTATACTTTCTAAGAAAACTCGACGACTGATACTCGTCATTACAAGATCAATCACTAGATCAGACGCCCCGTTTTTATCAAGCTGACATTGAATCTGGCAAAGGGTCATGTCAATTCGGGACAGCTTTACATTTCCGGGATGAGAATCAACATGAACAGAGATTCGATCCATTTTCGGCTTTCCTAACGAAATAACACCGTGGGCTCTACTATTATTTCCTGTTGAAATTTCACCATTACTTGTTAGTTTCAGACTGCCATCAATACTCGGCCTACGAAAATTCTTTCCGAAGTATCTAATTAATAAGTTGTTACGTAATTCTTCTCCCTGGGTTTGTTAAAATAATAAATTTCCAGTTATTTAAGCGCTTTAGTGATTCCTGAGATATAATGGTTTAATCGAGACTACCTTGTTATTAAAGCCAACGTCGACAGTCATCATCTCTCTTAAAATTTGTAGGACTTTCAAGCATAAATTCTCTTCACCTTTGTCCAATAACTTCTTCGTATGTTGAATCAGCCTGTCATGAAATTTTATCGGGTTTAACCACATAAATTGGCCAATAAAAGTAATCAGTACCAAAGCATTAGTAACAGGAGAAAAACAGGGTGAATCAGCCAGAAAAAAAGCAAAGTTCCTACTCACTTTGATATGAAGCCGCCATTGGCACACTGGGTTCTAGCTTCAGTTTGTACAGGAAATACCAACTCGGGCCGATACAGTACATCGACTAGTACTGACATTTCTGCATCTACTAACGGCTGCAACTGGTCTTCAAAGAGGCTAACAATATCCTAATATTGACAAAAAATCAATAATTTATATAATAATTTGTCAAATAGACTATTTTAGTAGATTTATTACGAACTTGCAATCCTTCGATAATGTTTCGATAATCTCGATTTTGAGAATTGATGGAATCACGACGGTTTTTGCTATGGCTGATCCATTGTTTTGTACTCTTCATTGCCAATAAGGATTTGCTAAATAATGCGTTGACCTGGCTGTCTAGATCTACAGGTATAGCTATACCACGATTTTTTGCTATAGGGAAACGTACATTAGATTTAACATCGGTTAGTTGTATAATATCATAATTGGTACACAAAAGATCAAAGAGAAGTGTCTGCACGCCACGTATCGATGCAATTATATATTCGTATATAATAAGAACAACCAAAATAAGATAGCTTAGTCGTTTAATAGCAATAGGAATATCACAATCGATCAATAATTGACATTGATATTTTAATCTGTAATACTGACATACCGACTTCTGCTAATACTCTGATACAAGTTTCCACATGATACTTTTGTTGACCATTAAGCCATCGACATAAAGACACGCGATATGATCCTTGTAAAATTTTAACAAATATAGGTTGGCGTGTCTATAGAATGGCAAACCATATCATCTTAGCTTACACTATAGTGAACGTCTATACTCAACACAAATACAGAACATATTTCGTATTAATGAAATCGTTCTACCTGTAGAGTTGTACTAGAATCTGAAAATGGTGAGCTAAAGAAAGATGTTATGATCGTCATTATAGTTTCAGTAACATATTTTTCTAGCCGTAAATCTGCATGTCTACGATCGATTGATTGGCATACCTGAAAAAGAAACAAGTAAAAGATTATCTGTAGGTCTCTTAAGAAGTGCAAAGTGAGAATAATTCTGGTTTTAGGACATTACCAAAGCCATATCTATTAAGAAATTTTCGAACAAAGTCCACATATGATGGCTAGTATAAATTTCTTTCATTTCCACTTCGGTGTCGACGTAGCAATGGTTTAAGAAATTAATGTATGCAATTTTGACCTGTTTCGAGAGAATTCGTTAAAGCATAATGAATCTTAACCAGGTCAAAAATAAGATCCCACCTCAGGCAAGCAGTCTTGGTCACACACAATTTTAACTGTATCATCCAAGGGAAGCAGACTGTGGCATTTGATTTCGGTATAAACATTCTTTCCTTCTGTACAACATGCCAACAGATGTACAAGATTAATATGGTACGACAAAGCCCCGCTATCTTCAAAACGTTCACGCTCCGATCTCATCATTTCAATGAACCCATCAAAAGACGCTTTATCGTTATAAAATAATAGTACTTCTTCCCCGACGTTAACAAGCTGTAAAGTATTTACATACATTACGACACTCGAAGAGCAATGTAGAAGTATTTGATTGAATAGTAACGTATACCTCAGCCATTACTAGATCTTGTGTTTTACGAATATACTGGCTTTCCGCCTTAACGATCGTTTGCAAAAACTTTAAATATTGCACGTGTCGACCGTGCGTTTCAATGCAGTGGACGAAATGTTGTACAACCCTCTCGGTTATTTCGTTACAAAGATTAGAGTTATTCAGAAAGATACTCCGTGCGGTTTCTGCTTCCAGTAACTAAAATATATTGAAGTCGAAAAAAGGTAGATTTAAATGCACGATGACATAAATAAATATACCTTTTATTGACTAAATTTACTCTACGTTTATCTAGAAATTACCCCAGGGGTCAAAAATAGATCCAAGTATTTATGAAGTATAGCCTGATTAGCTGGATTACCAAAACAAAAGTTCTGCAAAAATTGATGTGCTAACTTCATGATTTGTTTCATCTTACGGTCGGAGGCCTAAAGAAGTGCTGGCGTTAATCTATCAGTATAGCTTAAGCAGGACATGAAATGAACTATCAAACCTTGTCGTACGGGATCTGTAAGAGTTCTAGAACCACCGTATGTGCGCCTAGATTTCTTAGCAACCGTTGTTCATGTTTTCGATTTTTATTCGTACTTTCAGATATACATAATTTACTTAACCGTTCCAGAATCTGAATGATAAAAATTATTTACACAGATAATTTTATCTTCATGATTGATCAATCTCAAAATGAAACTTTTATGCTCTAAGATACAACTTACCTGTTGAATTTTGGAATAGTTCTGAACTGATTCATTGTCGCCAAAGGATTGCTCCAAGTCGATAGAAGGGTATCTTCCCAGCGCAGCATTCTTTTCTATAATAGCTTGTATGTTCTTTTCTAGATTCTAAGTACAAACAGTTGTGCTTATTGGACGCAATTTCAATTTCATAAAGATTCCTGACAAATAAGGCTAGCCTTACAACATCTGTGTTATCATTTGCCTTGTTCTTTTCTTGGTTCTTGGCGTTGTTATTCTCCTTTTCAGCAGATTTCTTTGAGTCTGTCTTAGACTTTTTCTTCTTGTCACCTTTAGCGTTACTCTTGCTTTTAAATACCCATAACTCTGATTTCTCAACTAGAAGTCGCAATTGATCTAGATCCTGCTTGATTTGTTTATAATTTTCAATATCGCTCTTCGATACTAGTAATTGAACCTAGAACACAAAGGATATGCTTTACTTTTTCAATATTACACTTATATTAGCTATAATAATCGTATTCCTAATAAGTCAAAACGAATTCCTGAATTAATTTCAGAAGGGCGAAGGTGCCTGATTGTGGAGTCTATATAATTTGACATCGAACAAATAACTGATTGCAACTCGTAGTTAATAAAACACTAACCCTGAGCCAGCGAGATTCTAACATATCTATTCCTTATAATAGTTCGTTAGTGTTCAGTACATTACCTTACTTGAGAAATACTCTATACGGTCATATAACAAAGAGCTACTACCTGAGAGATGTATCTGGTCTTCTAATAACTTAGCTTTCAAATAACTGCATTACATGAACATGTACGTAAGTATACAGTATCACCATATAGCTTCAAAGGTTGTAAGAAATCGTAAATTATATTATAGATTATGATTCGAACATGTACTACACAGAACGAAGTATTTCGCTTTGTAGCGATAACATTTTAACAGAAGGTGCTCTTGTTGCACTCCTAAGATGCAAATATTGGAAATTTATAGTACAAACCATAACGACAAACCTGTTTAAAAGCCTGGAGTACTTCTTGTCGTTGACTGAAGTGTCTAAAAAGCAATTGTAATGCACCAGACACTAACGGAGCGTAATCGTGCATAGTCAAATACAGCAGAACTCGAAGAAAAGTTCGACCACCACAACCATCTAAGTCCAGGTCAATATTCCTGTTCAGATGTCGAGAATTTAGTGGTCTAAAACGAAAAAAGAATTGTAGAAAGTTGTGTTTGAAGTAATTACCCCATGCTACCGAAAATCTTTTCAGCCTCAGCGCTTATTTTCTCTAAGTCCACGCCTACTCTCCAATATTCCATCAACGGTGAAAATTTTCCATTAACAGTAAGTAGAAAGTAGTTACTGGTTTCAAATACGTTATGACGTTACAGTATCAAATTAATTTCAGAAATTGCCACCGTACTATCTATTAAAAGTGACTATGTAACATACCTGGTTTTGTGGTTCCTGCAACACTATTTGTCGTAGCGCCTTTCTCCCCAAACTCTCGTTTAAACATCGATAATAAGCAAGAAATCCGGTAGTCCAGACGGACGTCCATAATAAATTGCAAAATTTCAATTATTTTCAATTTCGTATTCATGACGAGTACGTCTTCTGATTTAGTTTTCCCTATGCTACCAACTTGCGAGACCATTTCGTGTGTTGCAGCTGGTGCGTCTCTTCGATTCGTACTCGCATTATTACCAACGATAATGTTAGTCATAACAGATCCTACACCATGAATAGATTTTATTACACTATTCGGCCACTGCGGATTTGGGAGTGCAGCTGATAAAGATTCCATATATAATACAAATTTTAGATCATGTAGTATCACTTAAATTAAGAGAAGATCATCAATTTAAGCCAACCTATAGTGGTCTCTTTATTAGCTTCAGGAACGACATCACTTTCAGATATGTTAACAGGCTGTTGACAGTCAAGAATGGATAACAACGTCTTGTTCAACCTTAGTAAGTCGCTAAAGCTGTAAAATCCGAATTGGATCAATTTTGACGCTAGTTGTACCACCTAACCGACAATTGGAAATAAGTACTGTATTGGTTCTAGCATAACTACATACAGGAAGCAAACTTTTCAAATATTGTGAGTATATGAATGATAAATTACTTGATAAGTAAGCTTATTTTGTTCCTTGTTGTGATGGTTCCAGTTGGTACCAATCACGTTAGTTAAATAACCTTCTACAAATTTTATCGTGCTTGCAAATTTCGAAGTCATATCTTCTTTTACTTTTTGTTCCATTAAAGACTTATCGTATCTGTTTAAATATTCGTAAATCTAATTAGTACTGCTAGTGCAATAGACACAGAAAGCTAAGTTCAGATTGCCACAAAGGCATTCGGCGAATGGTAGGATCACATAACTTACTCTTCAATAGTTATTTTGGTCGGTATTTCAGCCCACAAACGGGCGTATTTAACAGGGGTTACAGGCTCTTGAGGATCGCGGTCTACGTGCATATGTAACATCAAACGAGTAAAAGAAGCCCGAAGATCGCAGGGTAAAGCTTCATCCGACATACACCTAGTGATATTATTTTGTTTGCCCATTGAAAAAAATAAACAGTTGCAAGGACGTGAATTCTTTAATGCGTCGGTGATTAATTTGTACACTTACCGACGGATAAGGTCGATATCTAATTGTTTGCAAAGACTATTGATAGCCAAGTATTGGCGGTCCAGACACATTTGCGAGAATAAATCTAATTGGTATCTACAAAGCAGGGAATTACAGTCTTCACATGTACTGTAGAGACACTATGATAAAGTATCGGGATTTTACAATTTATATTACTACTACTTACCGGTAGTACTTCAAAAGTTCGATGTCTTCCCTGTTTCCTTCATGGGCTCCTTGTGCTAGATCTCTTTGGCTTTTACTGAAATTACCGTCACGCGAGCAGAGATACACTTTGCTATCGGATTCTTCATTGATGATCCTAATAATTAGCAGGTAATGTAAGCAAGATTCCAGAATTATGACATTGGAATAAGGCTATGCTCCAGGATTAAAATCCTAAAGTTAGTATAATAAGACAGGTACTGTACGTCATATGCAAAACACTGTTGTACGTTTACTTTGTTTCAAACAAGATGTCGGAATTCTCTTTGCTCAAGACAGCTTTACAAATGAGTTCTTGTGTGGCGGGTATGGCAGTATTGTTGGACACACATAAATCCGATAAATAATCTAGAAATCTTAATAACAAGAGTAGTTTAACACCATTTTCGAAAAGGTTAAGTTTTATTGCACATAAATTTTGTTTTGCTTACTCTTTATTACGACGGACTAGGTTTACAAAGGTGTCAATCTCTTTTGCTGTAATATGCTTTTCAAGTAATTTTCTGTTATTGTGTAACAGCGCAGTAATGGTGTCTTCAGCAAGGACGTCATATCCGATTTGTTGTTGCATAAATCCAAATTGTTTGGCAATGTATTCCTTCAACACAAGAGGTGTAATCAAATTGAATGCTTATACCAGAGGACTAGACAGTTTAATAAATTCACTGGTTTTATTTAGTCCTTCCCAAATACCTGATTTTTTCGATAATCTTGTTGTGAATGTCTCAGAATTCTATAGGACAGCCTACAAATATGTCTAATAGAAGTATGCCTTTGGTCTGCTAATTCCTCCATTCTGAGTAGACATCCTGTACCAATGTCCGAAAAAGGGGCCTTGAGTAGTCGGAATACCTGTTCCAATATATTCTGTTCTCGAGTTAATTTCTGCCTTTCTCTATCAGGTTTATTAGTGGTGACAGATAGCGCATCTCCAACGGGTTCCATATCGACAATAAAATATACTACGTCCGTCAGTAACTGCGTCACAAAGCGTCTTTCAGTTTGTGAAAAAGTGCCTTTTTCTACTTTGCTTGCAAAATCGGCGAGTACCTATTATATTAGATAACATCAATAAAATTTCAGATAGGTAATACTTCAAATAGCCTCCTACTTTGCTGGCGTCGTTAGCAAAATCGAGATCTCGGACTTCTGATGCGGGCACTGGAACAATTGCAAATGCTTCCTTATCTTCACGAATACTTGCCGTTCCTACTTTCAGCATAACCGGCTTATCTTCATCACTATCATAAGCAATTTGACTACTATGCACCCAAGTATTCGTGCATAAATGTCGTAGCCTTACGTAGCAGCTCCTGCAAATGAAAAAGGTAGTGGACAGTTATAAGAAACACGGAATATTCTTACAACTTTATACAGAATAACTACCTTGGAACCAGCGCATCACTATGTTGTAGCGTTGTTGGATCTAATTCAAAGATTGACGCGATATCATGACCATGCGGTACAGCAACCAAATGATATACAGGTCCACCAGCAGAGCCTCGTAATTTTTCGCGAGTAACATCTGGAGTTGGATCATGATCGATCTGGAAAATATCGACACGTATGACTTTGCCATTAATTAAAATAAATCTAGGTTTCATAACTGTACTAAGTCATACCTCAGCGGCTAAATACTTTCCAGTAGCCAAATGTTTAAAACGAAATAGACTATTCCAACGTCCAGCACCTCCACGACAAGGATCATGCTGAACGACCTATAGGAGAGGAGTAACAATGATAAGTAAACTGATTGCATAGAGCTAACATATCACAAACAAAAGACCTCTGCTTCCCACAGCGCTTTCGAACTTGTGGCAGAAGACGCCGATGCACGTGCTGTGGTACGTAAAAACACATGCATTTTACTTTTGTAATCATCTGCGGTAAGAAATTTTTCTTGTTCCGCATGGAATAAGCGTATTACATCACCCTGTAATGACAGCATATTATTTCATCAATATAATTGATTATTCACACTGTTAGGCCATTCTACAAAAATCAGCTAACCCCCTTTAGTATGTCGTCTCTATTTTCTGAATAATCCATAAAAAGAGAGATCTTCCAGCTCGTATTGCAGTTTACCGAATTGACCTTCAATTTATATTCATAATTTTATTACTATGCAGTCCCAATGACAGAAGATGCAGGTTGATTGATTGGTCACATACCTCCTTGCAACCAGGATTGTCTACTAGTTCATGGTTGCTTGCATGCAGTGGCTGTCCAGCATTAACTGGGTTAACTATAACTTTGTCCCCGACAACCACCTTTACAATTCAGTACAAGATAAAATGCGGTTATTATTGATTGCATATGTGTACTATACATGCAGGAATAAAAGACAGTCTTCACTATGGAATTACACCCTTAACTTTACCAGTACTTTATAACCGTAATACTACCAACTATTTCTTAAACAGTGAGTAATACTTTAAGGTAATGACATCTTATTCCTAACGTAGAAAAAATAAGTTAAAAACACTAACGTTATCGCCAACACTCCGTAATTTGTAAAATGGAACCACATAGAACCATGATCCCTAAATAAGCAGTACATTAAGTGATATCTCAGCAATAAGATCGGAACATAGCATTATACTTAGCAATCTCATACTTCGTTCCCGTTAGTGTCTAATGTGACTCTCATAGCATTTTTTTCCAATAAAGCCGGCAGGCGCTTATTGACGGTTAAGTATTTATTACTCTTGAGATGCAACAGCTGAGCAAATATGTATAGTGTTAGAGAGACATTTTGACAGAGAATGCAAATTGTTTGTCATACCTGAATTACATTTCCGTACTGAATTGTCGTACCAAGAAGTTTTCCGTATTCTTGTTCATTTTGTTTCTTTTCCATTTCTGCTGCATGCTAACAAGTTCATAAATCAAGAATTTACAAGATAGGCATGCAATAAAATTAAAAATTTTTATGCTACACTTCTGCAATTTTTTATAAAGCTCATTGCTTTACTTGACATAAAAGAATTGTGGATACTGTAGTGCTTCACGTGTCATGATATATTTTCTACATTATCTGTACAAATTGTTTATATAGTGACAGCACCAATAATATCTGAGATAACTAAGGCTATTTAATAACGATATGAAAGCTAGTGTGATGCGATAAACACGGATAAGATTTTTGTCGCTCATATGTAATACAAGCAATATACATGTTTCTTAGTCTAACAAACTGCGTTATTATTTTGTATTTCCGTATTTCTTTGATCAAATATGAAAATTTAAACACTCGTAATAGTGGGCAAGAAAAGCGGCTAAGCCTGTAAACCAGATTGAGTAATTTAATTCTGTTAATCTCTAGCTGGCCTACTTAACCCTCCATAATTGCCTACGAAATAAAGTGGCGCAATACAGCAAAACATTCTACCGACAAATCTAAAAGTGATATTTTCTGCATGCTAGTTGAATAGAAACTTATAAATTATAAGCAAGAATGATGGAATATAACAAATTCTGCATTTGCAAATGGTTTTCTGTTACAAATACAGTGCGATAAATATTTACACTATTTAGCACACTCAGGAGTAGATATTTGTAAAATAAATCACTTACACTTGATAAGAAATGAGATGCTTCCTCGTCAGAAGCGCAGACATACGGTATGTAATATAATACATGCATACTCATACATATTGAATACTTGCAGGTGATAAAAATTGTTTGAATACGCTGTACATCGTCCTGAATAATCATATTGACAGCATTATCTAACTCCATCTATACATTCTCGTTTCTTACGTGTAACTTTTTAAGTAATACAGCATCGGTAGCAGAAGATAATGTCGGTTTAGCGGCTTTCCAGAATTGCTTTTGTGCTGAGTAGCGTGACATTGGACATATCTTAAATAAGCAATCTGTTGAATAGGTCAGATATTAGTCAAAAGCAAGTAAAGACTTCTAATCAAGTTTCGTAATATAGAATTTGTAACTAAGAAATTACTTTAACACTAGATCCTCTATGTCGTAGACAAAGCGACATACATTATTACATGAATATGTGATTCGAAATACAGAAGGTAATAGCGAATTATATTGCATCTGCAGGGTAAACACCATTATGTGCTAGTTAGGCTAGTGAGTCGGCAGCGGAAAAGATATCGACTAATACATAATTTATCGTACTATGCTACAGTGAATACTACTAGATTGCGTTATTTATCATTATCCATTATTAGATGATAAATGCAATTAACTTTAGGAGTATCGAGGTATCTGATAAGATAGTGACTCAGTTGCTAACAATGTTTCGACGTTACTATCAAATTTTATAATAATTTTCGTACTTATTTAAAGACACTTTATCAACAGGATTATAAGACAGTTCCATCGTTGACATACTGTAGGTGATATCTAATTCAGCGTTACAGTAAGTGAAGTACGATGAACACTACTATATACAGTAATTTTGAAATGATCTAATAGAGGCTGCCTCAACAGAATTTTGATCAGTTGATCACTAAAAGTTTTACTGACAATATATTTAATCGCCTAGAAGTATGAGTATCTCGTTACAAGGCAAACGGCTGTAAATACGATTAAATCTTGTACACATCGAATAGTACATTATTATGACGACATCGTTAGTTAATCAATCAAAGCTTGTTTGCACACGACTTAAACGCACCCCGAAATTTTTTTGGGGGATTTGCCAAATCACCAGCGTCTGGCTGCACCACACATCGGTCATCAACTAAGCTGGAAAATTATAATTTAAATTTATCAAGTATAAATATAGAACAATTTAGTAAACAAATAGCGATTTATGAAACATTCTTTAATAAGGATACTAAAATAGTCAACCAAACATGGTATCTTATAGCGATAGAAGTTAGCTATGGTTATAATTATGATTTGGCGCTATGGACTACATCAGTTGTAACTTATTTAGACTACCAGACAATTACAATCAAAACTTTAAAATTCGTCGGCAATAAATGAAAACGTTGGCACGAAAACTATAAAAGCTAAATTTGAAGCCCCCTTATCACTAATTATCTCAGATCAAAGTTTACCTTACGATAAAATACGGCACGGTGTATTGCAGCTATAGTATTATATATGTGAACGGAAACTATCGGGTATGAATAATTCTAAGGTAAATAATATTATTTATTTAATAGAGGTTACATTTAATTGTAATGATGACTAGAAAATGATAGTGATGTAAACGTACATTCCTCTTAATGAAAAGCTTCCAACATTTGCATGATATTTTCTTTAAATTAATATACTACGATATCCGTATTCTTATTATAACCGTTTGCAGTGCTTCGCTAAACTACTACATTACCATTACTTGACTAGTAGCGAAGCTTATGAGTAGTGACAAGCGCAACTGACCCATAGTACAGCCATATTAATCTGTCATACTTAACCGTAAATCACTCTATGTGATGACAATAATTGAGGGAGTTCTCAACTGAGGCTAAAGTTTGGAGCTAAGCTACCAGCATTACTTGGAATTGCTTCTAGTTTATAAGTCACGGCGAGTTTTACTGATTATTTGAATGTTGCTGTAGAGAAGCAAAAGGTATTCACTCTCAGACATGGACTAAACGCGGTTGCCACCGTAGAAGTAATGTCCAGTCATAGGTTATTTTGCTTCAGAACTGTAAATGACTGAGTGTTACGATATAAAATAGTTCTGGGTAAGACTAGCATCAACTCTTATATTTATATTAATCCTACAACGGTACAAACTCATTACTCTTCAGTATAGGAAGACGACAGTGGATAGTCAGTACTACAGGTGTACCTCCATTTGCTCAGTTGGTTGATGCACACTTGTATAATGCACAGTAGAGACTTTTAAAGCATAGAGAGTGTATGTTATCAACCTTTTTCGTTAATAGTAGGCAATAGTTCTTGTCGTGCAAATACGTGGTGAAATAGTAAACATTGATATTGTGCTAGGGTACTGTTAACTGATCATGATCAGGCCTAATCACTTTAGTCCGACAATTGCCAAGTGAAATACTGAACTTACGGTTTCTAATATAATCATATGAATCATTGCAACCAGAATAAAACGCAGATACTTAACGATACATATGATATAATTGATTGGTATAGTTAGTAGTTTACAGCATGGATAAATCATTTATTCGAAAAGTAATTTGATTTATGAGCCCAGCAAGTGCACAAGTCTACATCGAACGTTCAATGTTCATGGTTATGCGTTTGTAAGGTGCAATCAATGTGTTGTAAATAATGACACCAAATATCTCGTATGTTCATGGACGTACTTTCTACGGTGCACAGTTTGATGCCGTGACAGTAACGCCAGCCCTATGCATTTCTGATTTGATTTATAGGGATTTAGCGGATTTTTAACAAGATAAATACTATAATTAATCGATACTACGGTTGGAGATTATCACGCAATCGCTTCATTATAGTGGTTGCCCCAAAGTACAGTACAAAATAATACTGTATTGTACTTGTATAAGGGTAAAACGATACCATACTGTAAGCACGCTACACATTACTATATTGTACAAGCGTAGTACAGCACTATCATTTGAAACACCACTGGTACTGTACGAATACACGGAACAATGGTTCAATGAGTAACTGTGGTAGCGTGTGCATTGACTTTTAACGAACCCATTATCGTAATAAAACGTCAGTCATAAAGTAAAATTGGCAGTGTCTATCTTCAGAAAGAATACAAATATTAGGTAGACATACATTAGAATCTGAGATCATAGAAAATTACTATTGCAAGTAAAATACAATAAAGATCTACGCATGTAATATACAATCTACAGTATTTGTTGTAAAATGCTAGTAAATTACTTTTCTTACCCTAATGTGCAAATAAATCCGCAGACCGTCCCTTCTGCATATAGAGATGCGATATCTCCAACGTGTAAAAATCTAGCTCCTGATTCAGTCATGGTGATTTATCGAAAATGCTTCAGTTAATTCTACCTTGCTAATGAATATAATAATACGAACAATAAACAATATGGATAATATGGTGATAAAAATTAAAGATGTTATCCGTAGCTCAGAATACTAAACAGTGAAGTAATAGGATTTTATTACAGTGAACCGTTCAATGAGAGCAGAAATAACTTTTGGGTTAAACTATACTGCTTTTGAAGGGCACTACAGTGCTTCCGGTTGTATACAGTAAGTGAACATCGTAAGTTAATACCATACCTTAGGACTTTATCCTATATATCATATTATAACATTATAACTTGAAATAATGGCATATCGACGCGAAATCAGTTTTGTGGTTCTTGAATGTTGTTGGAGTTTCTGTGAGCACTACAGTTCCTGTATTCGCCAGATTTGCAAACAGGTACACCATACAGTACGGTACACTGCTTCATACAAACAGTGTACTGTAGAGTAAAGTACTGTACAGTACCGTACAGTACTGTACTATGTACTGTGTTCACAATACATTGTACACTAATGCACAGTACTGTACAGTACTGCATCGTACTGTACTGTACACGCGTACAGTACCTGTGCACTGTACAGTACACAAGTTTGGTACATGTACTGTACGGCAGTACTGTACAGACTGTACGGTATAATCACTGACAATCATTTTGCTTCAGTTCTATCAAACACCACGAATTGAAACAGTACAGTACTGTACTGTATTCATTAGCAAAGCGTGCTGGTTATTATAGTCACTTGGTCCGCACCAGTCTGCCATGGACTGTGAACAGGGCTCATTTTTCTAGCAAAACTGTGATTGTGACAGAAACAGCGAATCAAGCCTCGTTTTTACAGTACTGTACACTGAGTGTACTGTACAGTACTTATTTTGCTACATAGGCCAGTATTACGGAGTGAGTTGTAAAATGGTTAGACCGACCGCACATACTGTATAACAGCGATTGATAGTTTGTATTAGAAACTTTAAAGAAATATAATTATTCAATACTTCAATAAAAAGTAATAGAAATACCAAGAACCAATTACTCAATGTTGTAGTGATCTGTCTGCGTGAAATTTGAGCCAAATTTAAAGTAAATTTCTTCAAAATTTAAAGATATGTCTAGCAACATCATAGCTGAATAATGAACATCTTTCAATCATTTTATAAGGCTTGCCACGCCCCTGTGATAAAGGTCTTGTGTGCGTGTGCAGTACAGTGTACAGTAGCCATTGCATGTTATGGTTTTACCGTACTGTACGGTACTGCATGACTTAAAGTGACAGCACTATACTGTACTATGCACTACAGTACTACTCCAGCTGCAGATTAGATTTTACATTTACATTTTCTAGCGCCCTACGATGGTTTTATATTTATCTGGCACGTACGTATATGTTGCAAATATAATTATACATATATGATTCATTAAATTTTGACAGTGAGTCGGGTGGTGTTGTAAGTGCAGAATGTTACGACGACGCATACTGAATGCAGGCAAGAATGAAAACGCTGGAAATCATAAAGCGATACCTTTCTTTGAAAATCATGGTCCTTTCGATCAAGAAACAGATACGAGTGGCATTGCAAAATCATCCTTGTCGTGCTCGCGAGATACCACGCCGGTTTGGAAGGATGAGGTGATAATAAATAATGCGATGGTGCAGTAAAGTGTAAAGTGATAGCAATACCTGCAATTACTCACAATTACTTTGCGTTAGAAAGTAACATAGATCAATTAAGTATTAAGCAGATCCTTAGGAGTTATAATTGCAGAGTCGCATATAGGTAGGTCTTGAAGATCGAACATTTTATTTTATTTTGTGTTCCATAGGAGTATGCAGGTAACCCAAGGAACCCTGCGTGGACAGACGAAAATGACATCAGTGAGCAGTAAGTCATCAAAATTCTGTATTTTATGTTATGCCGTACTACGATACTGTACCGAGATTTTGTGGTCATCTCACCTGGTAGCTGCTTAAAGTCGCAGATAATTATATAATTTATTCGTAATAGTGCGGTAATTAAATGTCGTTATGCGCGTACTGTATATTGTACAATAATTATAGTAGCAATTGTTACAATGATACCAGATTGACCAAACCACAACGAGTAAAGACTTTTAAATTATATTTGCATGAAGATGTAATTTGATCGTGACGAAATCTGTCAATAGCTGAGGTGTCAGGTGATTTGAATTATAGGGTATTAATACCTCTTCACCAAAAGTACAAGAAATTGCGGTTAGGATCGGAAGAGAAGTTGATATCAGCTCATGCTTTAGAAGACAAACTTAGAGAGAAGTACGGCATTAAATAAACTAATAATATACTTCAAAATATTCAATTTCGTTAATCATATTACTGTAGTTAACCGATATAACGTGAATGTAATTATATGATGCTGAATTAGTTGGGTTACTTGTTACTTGCTTAATCGGATCAAATCATAATTATTTTAAGTTTCTATGATGTAATTGGCCAACCATCTTGGGCAGCACTTTCTGAAGATCCGGATCACGATGGCTACGGAGGTAAGGATCTCACAATTTGATTTTGATATTAAGTATTAAACCAATAAGTGAAATTAATCAACCACTGGATTCTTAAAATTTCTGCAGTAAAGCCTGGTAGACTATTCTAGTGACTAATAAGCATTAAATTTGTATTACATGGCGTGAAATTCTGTGTGTACTCATTCGCCGTGTTTTCATAATCAATACTGAAGATGACTTATGCTTTGTAGAATTGAAACTTTTAAATAATAGATGTTTCTAATAATGTTACAGTAAAAAAATTATACTTATTGAAGGCATGCTAATTAATTTTAGACAGTACGCGGCATCACTATCGATATCATAAGAAGAAACGACTCAGTATTAGTCCCATTGGTGTTGCATCTCATGATATTGAGGTTGGTTTTATAATATAATATATCACTAAATAACAGTTATCGTGTGATATATGTTGACCATCTTTCGTATATTGAATGGTTCTCGTGCTTTTGCCTCAGATCGATTTCATATCGTTACATATATTACTTTTCGTCCATACAGAATTCCTTAAAGTTTATAGATTTCCATCCGACTAAGCCGATCTTATTATCGGCTGGTATATCCAAAACATTAAATATTTTCCAGGTATACTGAGCTAGTAGCTCGCGACGTAAATGTGATCAGGTGATCAAGTAATCGGATCGTGAGCCTGATTAATAGCTACCGCTTTACTAAATTAAATACTACACTGAAGTGCTATTCGATGTACATCATCAAGTCTTGTTGTATTTAATGCTATAGGTTAACAAAGATGCAGTTATTAAACTGCAAAATATTTATTTTGAAAATTATCCGCTGCAAATGGCTCTATTTTCTATGGATGGCCGACAGATAGTCTTATCTTCAAGACATAAGCCATTGTGGTTTTATGACCTTCAGTCAAACCGTACTTTAAAAATTGGAAAACTGATTGGTATAATTTTTGTTCAGACGTAGATTGATTTTGTGTACGCGTATGTGGTTATTGTATACTCTAAACACATATTCAATCTTTTATCGATGTTGTAGGAAAATCTTTCAGTTCCAGCAAAGGCATTTCGGTCTCTCCGGACAATAAATTGATAGCCGTCATAAGTGATGATGGCTACATTAAACTTGTTTCATACCATGTAATATAAGTTAATTATGCATTTTAATCAAACTCGATAACCGTAGAATTGATGAAGGTTTCATTTTTATGCAGACAAAGGAGCTTATCGGCGAATTAAAAATGAATGGATCAGTTTGCGTAGCTAGTTTTTCGGATGATGGGTCCCAATTATATGCCGGAGGAGGTCATATCAGAATTGTAGATTTTCTAATTACAGAATTATACATTACTTAGGTTGCTTGAGAGTTATTTGTCAGATTTTTTAAGTCAGTTTGCATTTATATAATGTAAGGTATACGAACATTTAGTCGTCAGCAACTTTAATATGTATTAGTGCATTAATACTTAGGACAGCTAATTTCTACTGCTTGTATACAGCTTGTGCAAAGCTTCACCAATGAATACTTATTAGTAATACGTTTCGGTGGAACTATAGGTGATGGTGAAGTGTACGTTTGGGATGTTGGTCATCGCTCTTGCATTCACAGATTTGAGGATGAAGGGTCTATTTCCTGTTCAAGTATCTGCATTTCTCAAGACGGGAAGTACTTTGTTAGCGGGTATGGAAAGCCTTTACGCAGTGTCGCAGATATTTTTCTAGCCATAAAGACAGATATGTCGTTTCTGTTTTTTAAATTAATAGCCTAATGTTTCAAATGTTAGATCTAGTACAGGTAGTGTTAACGTTTATAACAAAGACGACATATGGAAATCCCGTCCAGAACCAATGAAAAAATTTCAAAATTTGCAATCTGCCATTAACGTTTCTAAAATAAATTCGACGAGGTAGTTAACAAATTTGCTGCTAAGTTCCGGAAGTACTCTTCAGTACTAATTAGTCTGGCCTCTTACGTATAAAAATCTTAAATCACGAAGCAATTTGCAAATTTGTGAATTATTTCGCTAAGGAATTGTATGCAGATATAGATGATTTAGGCCTATACCATATAGTGAAGTTTATATGTATATTTTGCGGCTTTTACTTTATAGTTTATTTTTAATTGCAGTATATTTACACATACGTGTATTACGTAGATTGTATGCGAACGAATATAATGGAATTTGGATAATATCTGAAAGTGTTTTCAGCTAAATTTATAGCTACTAGATTAGATGTGGTGAAAAAGTATTTGATGTAACCCTTACTGTTACGATGGTGTAGCTAATTTTTGGAAATAAGGCTTAATCTTTTTATTGTCGTAATTTATATTCCTAGTCAAGTATTGGTTTATTCATCCGTTAAACCGAAAAATTCACTTAAACTGGTAATCAAATTTAAAGTTATGAGATTATTATCACTCATTTATATTTTAATGGTTGTGCGGTGATTAACGTGATACGATTGTCTACGCTTTGCAAGGAACCGTTGTTGTGAAAAATATCGTATTGAAGGCGATTGTTTACTTATGCTTCTGAATTCTTGTAATGTTAACCATAGGTAGATTTGAAGTCTCTCTCTGTGATGTCATACTGGCCCACGCGTCAAAACCGGCTTGGGTATATCCAGTCCGCCGCGTTCTCTGCAGACGGAAGCCAGCTAGCACTTGGAAATTCTATTGGCAAAATATCTGTTTTTGAGTAAGTAAAATTTATCCGTCATCGTTTATTTCGTGATTCGCATTGCTAGATTTTATAACCTATTGAAGCTTATTTTGGGTATGAATTCTATTATAGGATGGTCAATAGTGGGTAATTCTTATTACGAATTCTGCTCTTTCGAAGGATGTTTAGAATAAGTTGTAATGTTACGTTTACATTTGCTTTCATTAATGAAGAAATACCAAGCACTGTAAATAATAGTGTAACATTTTTGAGTTGCTATATTCCATCGGAATGAATGATATCTGGTTGTTCTGCAGCTGGAAAGTTATGAATTTTACATATTGGTAGATTATACTACTACAAATATGACTTAGAACATTATTAATGAAATTTTGTAATTTTATAATTTGATACTGTGGCCTGCAGTTATAAACATTAGCTGTGGATATCGGCTGTTTTTATATGTTTGCAAGTACAGAATGACTTCCTATATGTTGCAAATAAAATCTCGCAATTTCAGCTGCTCTATCTATACTGTTGTTTATGCAGCATTTTACCTTGGAGTAAGGTAACGCATATACTTTAATTAATGAACCTGATTGATCGTTAATTTGTCTGATTGATTCTCTTATTACTTTAATAACTAATTTACTTTGCCGCATACTGTAAGTTTTCACCTTCAGTTGTTGCTGATGCCGATAGGTCAAGTAATCGTAGAAAAACTTTTTAGTTCGTTGAGTTTTATATACTGGCTCAGAAAATTCCTAAGGTCAGTTACATATTTAAGGAATAGTGAGTTGCTAGTAGATGGCTGTTATTACCTGCAAAATTCATGAATTTGGGTCACTGCCGATAAGAATAACTGTATCCTGCTTTGCATTATTTATTTGAACGTTTATATGAGCAGTATCGTTTTATCCGCGAAGGACAAAAATGTTCGCTTTCTACAAGTTCGGTTCTGTATCCTTGTGATATCTACACTGTTATACATATAATAATATGCTCTATATAGAAAATTTGGGGTTGAGGGGTTGATTATGTACAGTAGATACGAGCATGTTACGAACGGTATTAGAACTTTCGAAGATTGCAGTTTTCAAAAACTTTTAAACCTTTTAATCTGCTTTATTCAACATATAGAATAAGGTCGGCGAATACGTAATTGTGTAATTAAGGTTTTGCATTGACAATATTGTGCAGTGTATATTTATTCGAAGTATTACGAGCGGAATATTTTTATTAGCATGTGAAGTAGAACCAGTACTTGTAGAGTCAACAGCGCAGGTGTAGGTCTGCACTAGAAGCCACTGCCGATGTTAGTATTATACAACTTGAACATTCGATTATTGCCTCATGATATGAAGCTGTGACGATACTAGAAATTCAGAAGCGGCCAGATAGTAGCTGATGAGCATTATCTGTTTAAAGGTATAATAGTAAGCGTAACAACTTCAATACTCAGTTATCTGCGCTCATGGGTATACGTATATGTAAGAAACTGTTCAATAAAGAAAGGTTTGTGTTATAACCTTCTACTACTGTGGTCATCTTATTGCTTTATCAACGAAAGAAAGACTGATAAAAGTGAATATTTACTAATGAGAATACAACTCCACAATCGATGACAGTTCTATCTAGTCGTACCCCATCAACAGCTCCGGTAAAAGTGGCTATTGCTTGTCCTTTTATCCTAGTATCTAACCGTAACTAATAATATAATTGATTGCCCATAACAAAGTATGGATATCGGAATAATCTACTTCAATTCCATGATTTTATACCCAGCATATACAGTAAAATACTATGTACTCCGCAAAGATTGACTCTGATTTACTTGCCTTTCTACCAACCTATTTGCCTAAAACTTTTACAAATAAGTAATTTGTGATGAAACAAACACTTATTTTACTCCAGTATAAATTCCAATTCCATTGAGGTGAAAGATAATACTTTTTCTTTACTTCCATGTCTAATTCTGATCCCTTCCACTATGTTAACATAATACGGAAAACAGTTGAACAATTGTAGAAAGCGTTATCATACTTGTATTCTGTAGACTAAAGAGCGTCAGTTACCTCAAGCTTAGTAATGTCACACTCACGAGTATATTTCTTTATAAGTACAGTACAATAAAGTTAATTTGACGTACAGTGTAACGTGTATGCAATAGTATATTACAGTAATAATTTAACCTCAATACCCCACCAGGAACTACTAAATGAAAATAAAAGAAGAAAAATGACTGATCAGAGCAAAATATGTGTAGGCCAATCTCTTTTAGTCATTTCGCTTTACTACTATGCTCTACGACTGGAACAGTAGCACCTTACACAGGACAATCGAAAACCAAGCTGGTAGTAGCAGTAATACAAGTGTAAGACGAACGGTACAGTTACAATGACCAGCAAAATAGTCTGTCTTCCATTTCACGAGTACGGTATATGGAATGACCATTTTCCCTTCCTCTATCGTTCTCTTAGTAGTCTCTGGTCCCTGGTATACGTTTGATTCACGATAAATGCAAGTGCTCACGCTATTTAAGAGCTTAAGTCTAGAACGACTTACCTTTTGAGGCAACTGAGTAAAACTAGATATTTATTTTACTGTATAGTAAATTTCAGTAAAGTATGATATAATTATATCAGTAATTTAACATTAATAAAAGTGGTACTGTTACACTACCAACATATCTTTATTGGTACCTTTAAGGCTCTAGCATTACAATCTTTGCACTGAATTTAATGTGATTCTTATAAAACTATATACGAATTCAATGCAAATAGTTATCTACAGATCTTAATCATAAGCAAATAAAGCGCCAAAACCGTAAATAGATATTTATGCTTAACATGCAAATAACCTTTTGCATACACCCTCTCTTCATAATCGTCTTCTACATTTTTACACCGCTTAAATTAAAGTCAAAATTAAATTGAACTAAGTGCCGTAAGAAAATATCCTCTTATAATGAACTAATCGTCAAGCTGACATAATAACGCAACGCCTCGCTTTATCCAGTGTTTCGCAGGTTTTTCAGTTGGTAGCTTGATAGTCAGCACATAATTAGTAGAATGGCCAGTCGTACTTAATGTGCCACGTCTAGCGCTTGTCTTATAAACCGGACAATCGTACATTGGCAGGGTTAACACTTCACCTATTATACCTGCATGAAAATGAAGAGTAACAAATCAGATAGCTAAATAACTTTATAAATTAAAATTTAGGCGTCAGCAATATTTGTGGTGGTCTACACCGGTGAACAAATTAAAAATATTCAACTAGGAATAATATTTACCTGGTTTAAGATAAATAACCGGAAGTAGATCATACAGTAACTTTGGATAAGATTCTGTGACAACCCTCCTAAAAGTTGTTAAGAAATTTTAAGTAATTAATCCTAAGCTGGAATAGAATACTTGTAATTAGTTAAGGATTTTGTCTTGCATTGAAAAGATGCCTGGGATTTTAATTAATGCTGAAAGTACCAATCGCTACCAAAGGTAACGAATCTCCCATATCATACTTCTCACATTGTAATCATTGCATAACAGTGGAGGAATCAATTAGAGTTTCAGGGTAAAATCTACAAACCTATCGCGATCCCAACGAGCTCCCTCTAAGTAAACACCGTAGATATAGGCACCATCCGTTGGTGAATTTGTGATCTCATCATGATTTTGCGATAATACCTGAATTACAATGTAGATGATTATAATTAATCATAGATAATTCTAAAACTCTGTTCTCAAATTTACGCACTACGTTATAAAATAAAAAATATAAAATCACCTCGTAACTAAAATTAAGTTTATCAATCGCGATGGTGTACTTTCTTGCATAGTTCTGTATAACACCAGTTAGAAAAGCCTAACGAGAACGGATTCCATCAAAAAATTTAAAAAAGAAATAGATCAGTAAAGAAACCATTTTACCTGCGTGAAAAAGAAACCTGACAACCAATAAACCACGGGTTCGCCTTTGTTGAACCAATCCTACATCACATAGTAAGCAATAGCATGCAATTACTTTACTTAAGAAAGAACGAAATGATAAGCGAATAGCTTATGCATAAGGTAATGCATCTAGTAGACCGTTCTAAAAGTGAACCCGAAAGTATAACATATAGTACAAACTTTTAAGAACTTTAGCCTCATTAACAAGTCTGCAATATAGCTTCCCAAGGGTTTCAAGCTGGGATACGAAAATTTCATCCACAATTCTGGGACCTAAAGATATTTATAAGAACATACACTTCAATCTACAACTGAAAGCTGCAAGATTAGTATGTAGCAACAAACTACCTTTCCAATAAGAAGGCTTTGGGATAAAGATTCAAGATCGGTAGACATGATAACGAGACCTTTGATAGCTTTCTGCAAATTGCTAAGACTTGAACGTATAGCTTCTAGAAGACTAGCATCAGCAATAAATGTCGTCAACATTATAATTACCGAATCCCTTCTGTTTAAGATATATCTATTTTTTTTGCTTACTCATTAAATCTTTTCAATTCTTGTACTAGAACCGTATTCATACTCTCTGAATAGCTAACAGGATACTTTTTAATAGCACCAGCCAGATCGAAATTAGACGGCAATTTCGTCATAACGTCTTGAGCAATGTCATATAACGTATCATCCGCTTTTCGACTGACTCCAGTAGCAACATTACTACCTTGTGTACTTAGCAGTGATTCAAAAATCTATCAGAAATTTAAAAATTTTATCAAATAATTATGATCGCTCCATTAGAGCCTCAAAGCATGAATGTTGACGCAAAGAAAAATTTGCAATGTATCCCGAACCAGTTTAGTTTCTCGTAATTCACGCGAGATATCGACGTTTTCATGTAGTCCAAAAACTTCCGGTTGTTGATGCATTGGCAAGTTCTACATAAACCAGAGCAGTTTAAATTAAGTTATAGATACTTCTGTATAGTAATTATTATAGTGTTAGTTATTATTTCCTATTCTACTCTACACATACTTTTATATCTTCTATGTAATTATCAAGATTCCCGCTAGACAAAACGATGTAAATACCACTAGGCGAGAGTTTATACTTGGAATCATTTACGATTTCAGAACAATAAAAGTCCGAAAGTAATGTCAGCAAGCAGCGTCTATAAATAAAGGATTTAGTCCAAAAGATATTAGTGTTGGGCATATGCACGCTACCACCTTCCATGCCGAAACTCGATTTCTAACCTATCCCACTCATCCGTTACTCTTCCTCCGTAATTACATTCTCCAGTTAAATACAGAAGAGCATCAAAAGGGATCTGATCATAATCTCCTACGAAGGTCTACAAGAAGATGTATTTGGATGATTTGATGCATTACATCCCATATTTGAAAATAAACCAAAAATTTATACCTGCAGTTGGCGTATACTAATTCTCAGATCGGATTCATTAAAGCCGTAAGGTATATTCCAGCCAATTGGACCAAACTTTCGACGCTCTTGTACAAGGGCGTGAAAAAAGCAAAGTCCATATAATAACTTACTGAAGGCCTATAACATATTAAATGAAATAAATAAAAATATATCCAGACTTATCGCGAAGTCAGGCATCTTAATCTTAACCTGGACTTACCTGCTCCTTCCCACGACATTTACCGAAGAAATTTGGATCAGAGATCGGATCATTACTGTAGGACTGAAGTAAATTTTGTCGTAGCCCAGTTGGTGGTTCGTTTGTCATTTTGATGCTATTTTGTAATATTGGAATTGGAAACTATGAAATGATACAATAGCATTTAGTTAAAAAGCAACTTACAATGATACTCGTACCGTATTACAAAGGTACATCGACTCCTAACAAAACACTTGAAACAGGAAACTGCCACTGCCGACCACCTTACCGGCTTTCCTTGATTTATTGATCAAAGCAAGCCTCAAGTCTATTGCTAACCTACCTTGTCCGAAGGATAGCTTGTAAGCCAGAGACGAAAGTTCTGGTCGACCTTATCAGCTAACAGCTTTTCACAAATTCTCTCAAGAGTCGGTAGCCAAGATACAGCCAAATGGCAATTCTGTAAAACGACCCAGTTTCCTTCCTTACTTGCAACATTAATTAGCTTAGCAGCAATGGGGCCCTTTAATCACGTAACGAAATATTTACACGCTCGTTAAATTGATAACAATTTACAGCTGTCATTTAAGTGTTGTAATACCTGTCCTTGGCCTAACGAAATGGCATTAAATCGATTTCCAATAAATCCCTTATCTTCGGCAAATTTCATTAAACCTACCGTTAATACATCGTATATTATCAGTTATACAGATTTTATAGCAGTTCAATGCAATGCCATATACTCTATGTCTCACCCGCCATTGGATCAGCTCCAGGCGACAATATAAAAAGCAGTGGTGCCACACAGCTAGAATCAGCATAGCTTTTATACAAATCAAAGGGTGGAGGATCTACAAACTTACGACCTAGCTTTTCTTCAACGAAAGCCAATATCGTAGGTATAACCTATTGATTACACATAAAATTATATTATATACGGAAATATCCGACTACTTCGTGCTTAATTTAGTGTCGTGATATCATTGATGACTTATGCACACACATCCATGCTATAATGTTAATAGTTTTATGTAAGGTGCGATAGGGTTCATTAGAAAATTAAGCATTACAAACATATCATGCTATTAATAAAATTTCTAAGCCGATTTTAATACCGTATTCAAAGATGAACAGTATACATTTAGTATTCGATAGGTACTTCTGTCATTTATCATACTCCGCAGAAGCAAGTTTTACATACTTAAGTACAGTTATGCACATTTGGAAATAGTACCACCGATATTATTCATATGGTATTATTGGAAGTATTATTTCATAAATAGCCTAAAATAGTAGGTTAAACTCTGCTCTCGTAGGAAGTTAGCTACATACCGTATGATACAAGTAATTTTATTGCTGATTAGAGTATTGTTTACTAATTGTGAATCGATTACTTGTAGCAGTCAAGTAACCATGATAACATTTAGCACGCAGACATATCCCCAGCTAGTTGGGAAGGTTTTAAAAACGGTGACACTTTCAATGGTATAGAATGTTACATTGATCCTCAGCAAACTTGTTCACCTGCCTATAATGCGAAGTATAATCGCTACAATGCCCTAGACAGAGTATATACTATATATATTACTGTATACAGGAGGACAAGTTTCCTGAGCACGATTATTACCCCCGATCCCATCTCTAAAGTCCAACAACAATCAGTAAGAGGCTCATAGCATTTCAATAATTTCGAAACATAAGCTCAGTACCCTTAACATCACACACAACTACACACTACCTTATCAGGACGTAAACACCGAACGACCATCATCCTCTGAAAGTCATTTAATTTTTCATTACACGGCGAGGGCAAAGGCATTTTATAAGGTTCTTTAGATTCGTACATCAAACGCCAATCGTCGATACCTCCAACAAAGCTTTCTCTTTAATGCAAAAGTAAGTTACGTTAGTTCAGAAACACCGCGATGTAAGCATCCAGTTATCATACTACGTAAACTATAAACATAAAATTATATTGACAAACAAAACAAACGGCAATTAATAGTCCAAGTGCATCATTTATTTTCGCCTCTGACCTGAAAGACTGTAACGACTGCAATTCTGACATTCGACAGATCTCATCCCAAGCCCTATCCGGCAGCCACTGTGGCGCTGGATTTTGGAGCTACATTGTAACATATGCGTGTCATTGTCATTTAATTGAATAACCTGAATTGTGGCCAAAATATCCCTTATGACGCGTGCAAGAAATATTGTATAATTTTCTACCTTATTTTCAAGTCCAACTCCGCCAGTCAGAAAGAACATAAACTCGTCACTATCCATTTCAGACCTGGCCCTATATCATAAGTAAAATTCATCATCGATTTTGACGCTAAGTAGGATGGAATAGGTAACACTCTTACGTCAACATATTACAGCAAAGGAGAAATGAAAATAACAGCTTGTCCTTTTCGAAAAGTGATCGGCAGACATTACTATAAAGATTGTACGTGAAATGATCCGTCAAGTAACGCAGCCTTTTTTCCAAAATCTTTGACTTGTTACTACACAAAAAGAATCATATCAGATCGGCGACATTATTTCACACTCTATTCTATGCAATTCTTGCTACATTGTATAAGATTTTCAGAGAGCAAAAGCCAACACGACAATTAGCCGTAAGCACGTAACGGTAATTCCAATACCTTTCTGTTATCGAATTTATGTATAAATTCACGAACCAAGACAGTGAATACTGATACATAGGATCGATATTTGCCAAGTCTGTAATCGAGAAGTATAAAACCGAAGAATGTTTGGCAATAGGCCTATACCCTGCCCTTGATTGATTTATCTTCTCTTCTGTTTCTTCAGCAATCTGTTAAATAACGAAAAAATCCAACTCTGTCGCTTTTAACAGTATTACATATCTATGCAAGGTAAGTTTATACATAATCTGATTACACTTATAATACAAATCTAATTTTTCTAGCAGGAATAATAACGAACCTTCTGCTTTTTCGTTATTTCGTCAGAAAGCGATTTAGAGGAATCAAGCACTTGGATGGCGGATTCGTCTTCTAAGATATTACCTTCAGATGAAGACAAAGTTTCTAATATTTTATCTTCTATTTCTTTTAACTGCTTTTTATTCGTAGCACTCTGGACTATCAAAGCGTTCCTCTGTTCTTCCAGTTCAGGCCTTAAAAAGGAAAAATATCTCTATTGAAATACAGATGATACCATCACATAAAAAAAAATAGATTGCGTAAGTACTTTTCTCTAGCTACAACAAGACCAAGAAGTTGATCTTCCAACCCTTCCGGTGTAATCATAAAATTCAAGAGTGATACCTATAAATCGTTAAGACACCCAATGAGACTATGACACTATTAGGTTACTGTCTTCAATAAAATTCAGAGATTTCAGTTACCTTCGTAGCAACTTCTGGAAGATAATGAGGGTTCCTCAACTTCGTAGTTATGTATAGCCTAAAATCAGTAGAATACTGCACAATATTCTCTCCTAATCGCATATATTGTATTCCCCCTATAATTTAGTAGTATGAAATTTTTTAAACAATAATTTACTGCATTTCAGAATTTCTCAATACAGAAAAGTAATATTTACCTTGCTTAAAAGCTTGCTTCAATAAGATAGGTTCGAGCGATGGATCGATTTCCTCGCTAATATTTTCAAGCAAAACGGGATTTCCGAACTGTATCGAATTTTCTAGGGCTCGCATGTAATCAGGGTCTGATAGTTTAATTATCTAGTTATAATGGAAATTCAGTTTAACTGCGTAAATTAAATTATCAATTTACATTTATTCATACTACTGTATAAGGAAATACCGCTAAATTATTATCACGTTCTAGTGTTTTAATCCACTTGTTAGCCTGACTTTGTGGATCAATCATGAGTGGCCTAATTAAGCAATAGAAATTTTTATTCGAAATAGCTGGACTGTAACGTAGAAGAATGATTTAGTACAAACCATCTTCTTGCATTTGCAACAATAATTCCGTTATCGATCGAAAAACTATCATTCGGCAAACCAGCGATGTTCCATGTTCGTATCTTAATCGGTTCTCCTAGTGTCTTGCTTAAAGAGAATTCAGCAGAGCAAGGAACTTGTGACTCCTATAACATTTGACGATAAATTTCGGTCATGCTATTTATAATTCATATAACAATTAACTTGGCATAAGCGTAATACATCCCCACATATCCGTAACAAGTCGGCACAGACAATGTTTGATATTTGCTCACCTTGCATCTGCTGTTCCATCCCGCTACGCAAACCGAACGATACGAAGAAGTAAAAGGTCCCAAGTATGCAATGGTTCCAGCAGATATTAATACATCACCTACAAGATTGTTATACACTTCTTCTAGTGCTTTTACAGCAGATCTCCATCGATCATTTTCACCACCAAGACCACCAATTAATTTAGTAGCTCTTTCCAGTTTCTTAGCACACAGGTCAACCTTCGATTATAATAAAGCTTTCAGAATCATTGCATCAACATTCACCAGAACGAATAATATGACAGTGGACAAAAACTTCTACAATAATTTTAGCAACTTTATTTACTTGAAATTCGAGCTGGGCCTTCTTTTCTTGCCCGGCTTCCAACTGATTCTGAAGTGACGTAAATTTGCTTTCAATAGCTCTTAACTCCGACCGTTTTTCATTTAAAGCAGCCATTATTTGAGAAAGTTTTTCTTCTGCTTCTCTTAATCTAATTTTTTTCGGAGCTACTATCTGTAACCGAAGAAGCAGCAATAATATCATGCACGAATACCAATTATACTGAAAGGGATAACAGTAGCGACAGATTTAACTCATGCCAGTAATCAATACGTTGCCATTCTCAATTTACCTTTGCAACACGATCGTAAATTTCCATAGCAATAACCCATTTACAAAGTCCTTCAGCAGCCGAAGATGCAGTGCGAACCTTAGCCGGATCAAAATTTTCATTCCTTAGAAATTCGGAACGAATTCTGTCCATTGTTTGAGGCTAGAGCATAAATATAGGCCATTAGACTTGATTTACTTCAACAAGCGGGTTGGAAAAGTCAACCGAATCCGTAGCAAGTCTCACCTGAATGTTATCTTTATCATATATTTTCAGTGTATTTAAAAAATTCATGTCAGTTAACATTTTCTTAGAAGGTCCCCAATAATCCAGAATCTATTAATCATTTAATTGCAACTTATTGAAAATCAGTGCAATTTATTGCAATTCATCCGTTAATAAATTACATTTTCAAAATGGCAATCTATAATTAACAAGACATCATCTTATATAATACTAGTAAATGTCCTAGCAAATTTCCACAAAGCAATGCTCTAAGAAATATATTACTGACACCTACATAAGTGTAATTTAGTATGTGCATAACCCTTAAACTATCTCGCAAAATCTGTAATCTCCTTCTCATAAAAATATTGATTCAATACTTATAAATTCCAATATGGATTCTACACTAATATAGGTATAAATGCTTATATGCTTTAAATGATTCTTAGTAACCATTTACTATCACCAAGTTTTACCTTTTCATTAGGTTTATCGGGATTATTAACTTTGTCGGCTTTTATGCCTCGCATGACACAAACCGCAGCAAGCACAAGCTTAACCCCAGGTGGTGGATTCACCATGGTTCTTACTATTGCGATATCAGCTGGCTACTCCAAGTTGAAAATAGAAAAATTTCTGATAAATCCATTACACAAACTTCTAAAACAAGGTTATCTCTCACCCGAAGTGTATCTAAAGCCGCTTGAGCAGCTTCTAAAGCTGGGATAGCCTCAGCTAAATCATTCTCACACTAATAAATGAATTTTGAAGATTGTTTAGGAAGCTAGATACGCTAAATAACTCGAAAGTAGCAAAATACAGTAAAATATGTTAACTTTATTAAATTAACCTCATCCTTCAATGCCTGAGCCTCAGCAGCCTGTTCGTTTGCTTTATGTTCTTCCTCTCTGACAATATTACTAGCGGCTTCAACCTCTTTAGACTCGTTTTCAATTAGCTAAATACATATTAAAATTACGAATTATAGGGTAGCTTCTTAAAGAATTGTCACAGACGTACAGCATTTATAATTTTAAACATTTATAATTCAAGCACATATATTAATCCTATCGTTAAACTTCAAGGATAGATTATAATTATCGACAATAGCGTGAATTACTAACCGTCATCATTTCCGAATTCTGTTCAGAAGCTCGAACTAACTGAGGTTGAAGATTTTCAAGCTCAATTTGCATCGAGGCTACTTGTTCCGATGCAAATGCTAGCTTTTGAAGCCCACCTTCGTATCGTTTGCTAACTTTTATAATCTGTAATACACCAAAATATAAATTTTAGAAAAAATTTTAGTAATACAAAATTTAATCATCTATAATTCGAATGTAAAGAAAATAAATCTTCAAGTACTTTAATTCTAAGTAAATATATTGTACTAATGTATGAAACCGTGAATTAAGATACCTCATTTCGTTTTTGTGAAAGTAACAGTTTAAACGAGGAAATCAATTCAAGATATGAGGTCGGTGTAACATAGTTGTGACGATTTAATTCTGCTAAATACCTAGATGTAAAAAATTTGTAAGCTGAAGCACGACCAATCTAAGATATATTTAAAGTCTTACTTTTGCGATAACTGCCGAATGTTCTTGTGAAATAGCTTGCAAAGATCAACAATGTTATCTCTTTCATTTTCCTGAAGGTCAATGTCTTCCAAAAACTTATACGCCACCATTTCTAGGGCATCTTCTGGCCAAGCCTAGGCGTTTAAATTAAAAATATTTATGCTAGAATTTGGTGTAAGTATTTCCTTACTGATAATGGAACGACGTGACTAACAATTAACAATTCTGTAGCATAAATGTGAGATATTACAGGTAACCACTAATCGATCAGCTGACAGATCTACTGTACTACCGTGTATTTTACAGTCTAGTCGAAAGCTTTAATTCTAATACTACTTAACCGGTAACACATTTTTCTTTGATATCTTACGATGACCTACATAAAATTATGATCTACTAGACCAATTTATACGACTGGGTTCTCAAATCAACCCAGTCCGTGCTTTCATGCGTGCTAAAAAGTAGGTATTAAATTTAGATGGCTAGCTTTACGCGCACACCTACCTGGTACCAGTCAATATTACAGCAATTAATCAGAGAAGGAAATCGTCTTATTCGAGTTCTGAAAGCGTCTCCGATTGGGCTCATGCATAAAGCAATATGCAAATTATCACGACAGCGACCAATAAAGTAGTTGTAGAGTGTTAATGGAGTAAACTCTGCATTGACATCTTTCGCCTGAGCTACAGGTCTGATGGCCTATCCGATAAATACGGTAACGATCAAAGTTTGTTATTAAGTATTAACTACCGCTTGGCTGTTACACACGTGAAATCACATAAGCATCCCTACTGTAGTTATAATTTTATTTAGTAATAAATGGTATAATTCATATATAATACCATTACCATAAATTTTAGTGCACATAAACCCATAAAAACAATACAAGTAATGCGTAAACCTCAATTAGTTCAGCTTTTTCATCAGGTGGAAACAGATTAGGAACCTCACTGGAATTCAGTAAACTATCAATATCTTCTAAAAATGATTCATCTTTGATCTGGCTATCTCCAAGTAAGAATACTGTAGGTTTGCCTTGACAACCAGCCCCTTTCAACAATTTCTGTGAAATTGAAGTAATCCTATTAACACCAGATCACAACAAACATTTGCAGTATGTAGTATAATAACAGCAACAACAACCTTGAGATCATCCTTCCATTCAGAACGTCCATAATTCTTCGAAATCTCTGGTTGAAAAACATTAAATCCTGACATAAAAGCAGCCAAACTTGTTAATGATTGCCGTCCGCTACCACCAACACCGACTAACAACAAATTCCCTCCAGCTTGTTTAAGTACACGACAAATGCGAGATAGATGCTCAAGCATATAGCTAAGTTAAGGATCACAATAAAATTAAATAGTTGTAATAGAAGAAGCGCTGTGCAGAGAAATTTAAGCAAAATAGCTTGGTGAATTTACTGTAATTTACAATTTATACCTAAAGACAACTAGTTTCATTGGAGTCTTATGTGTCATGTTATAATCTTCAAGTTTTAATTCAACGACGTTATTCATATCTTCTAAGGAAGTAACTTCTTCGTATAATTGATCATCCTATAGCATAAATATATTGAAGGAATAAGCAGATGCCCTATAAATTCCTTAAACTTATAGCCACACAAATTCAACAAAACCGTTTCACTGTCGGAAGCCATATAGTCTCCAAATAATAATTTTCTCATATCATCCTCCGTCGGCTAGACAGTTACAAAGACCCACGCAAAAGCAAATCGGATATCATTATAGGCCTAATAGAAAAATTGCTAATATGCTAATACATTCGCAACAATTACTAACAGCTTCTCCTTCTTTAACAGCAAGATGAGAAAAGATATCATCAAAGTTATCTTTCAAATGTTCTCTGACAACTTTCTTTGTTAAACTAAAACCAAATAACGAGAGTCAGTGCATATATTACTGAGATGCTTGCATTACACACAGTCCAATAATAAAACCGTACTTATATAACCAGTCTCTGTCATTGATATCAGTAAGGCGATCATAAAACACCCTGTAAATTTCATGGACCCAAAGCCTGCAAGGTATAAATCAAAAGAAACCGTTATTTACAAGCATGGGTCTATGTAATCGGTTAAAGAGCTAAACCTGACCTGATTAAAGATCTCTTATTTTCTATCGATTGCGGTCTCACTAACAATACGCCCTGGATAGTTCTTGAAAAATCTCGCAAATTAAAGGTATAATGAGACTTGGCCGGGGTTGGCAATAAATTTCCAATTGCTGATTTGTAGATCTGTAAATAACATAAAAACGCTAAGCTGTTGTTGCCTCATTCAACTATCACACTTTTATCTTTCAACAGCAGTAAAATGACCTGCAATGTTGCCGCAACTACTTGCATCCCTACAGAAAAATATTCGGCAGGAAACTGGCGGACCTGTATCGAATAGAGCAACCAGGATGGATTACAAGAATCTATGAAGATATCTTCATGAAATAATTTATTTATGCAATGTAATAAGAAAGATCAAATGATACTCATTTATAAGAAATTAAAGATATTAATTTAGACCCACCTTTAAAATATGGGTAACTATAGTATTAAATATGGTCAGCATTGCCTCGTCAGAAAAAATGGTCATGGAAATAATGTTAAAGTGTCTTAAAAATCTTGAAGATATATGACTTCTACCACCCCCTGGTGGGCCCATAGCTCCAATTATTTGTATATCATCTAGCTGAATTTTTGAAGTATCTTTCCTATCGTACCTGAGAAACACACGACAAGCTATTAAATCTCCAACCCAAATTCATAATATGCATTTAAAACACACAATGAAGGTATCATCAATATGTCATAAATTGATTACGCATTTACACACCAAATTTTATGGTCAAGCCACTGTCGTAGTAACTCAATAGGCGGCTGTGCACCGTATTTTTCTTGCATAGGCATATTAAGGTCATCCACGAACAGAATACAATTTTTACCGAGCGGAGGTCCATAGATGCCTTTTCTTCTTTTATCTAATTTAGACATCACTATATCCTGCGACAAAATTTCAAATTTTGACGATTAGACCTTATCAAAAATGTATCTACACTGATAACTGCTACTTATAAGAGTTATTACGCGCGTGACTCTGATACTAGAGTAAATAACGTCTAGGGATTAGGGTACATAAAGCGCATAACTTATTAAATGATAAGATCAGCGACTTCTTGATAAGAGTGTAATACCAATACGGAATCATGTTTGATCGATGACTCCGAATTTTACTTATGTACACGTATATGTTTATACATAGTATTACTTAAGGTAAGGAAACCCTGTGTAAATTAAATTTTTGTGTTTAATAAGGCTGCCTTTGCCTTGACGCGTATAACCGTGTCTAGCGTTATTGACCTAGTGTCGCTACATATTAAATAACTGCAGCAAATAGTGATATAGTTTCTTATAATGTTATACCTGCGTTTGATTAGCGGTTGTTTGGGCAGAAAAGTTTATTAACACAGGAGAATAACGATCCCTCGGTAGCTTATGTATTAACTTCTCCTTCACGTACATCGTCTTGCCAGTTCCCGTAGGTCCAACCAATAGTATAGGTAGACCATATTGAATCAATAAATCTAGTAAATAAGAATAACGCATAGTATCTGTCGTAGGAACTATTATTTCATTCATTTTCGCATCCAAAGGAATTGTAATTCCATTCTTCGAATCTAGCCATGGTAACCATCTGCCTCGGCCCTTATTCTAAATCAAAATAAGATAAATAATTAATTATACAGTTCTAACTCAAAAACCATTCAAATCATGTAGCATAATGCAGAGTACCTCATAAACATAGTCATATAACAGCCCAGTTTCGGGCAGTGGTACATCAATCCTCCCTAGTATATCAGGGATTGGATAAGTAGAAACTTTGCCAGATAATAGTTCACGTAAGAAAATATCAAATTTTGTTCGACTTTCACCATCGACACTCCCGCCAACAGACCATACACACGCAAAGATAATTGAAGCCTAAAATTTTAAGCAGAAACCTGCATTTTATATCATGGCAAGTAGGAACTACCGCAAGTCTCGAATAAGTATTGTAGCTATTACCGTTATCCACGTGCGTTTATGCTTGTTCTCTGAGACAAGTTCTTCACCATACGGCAATATCAAGGCTTTGGTTAACTTTAAGAATGACATTACAAGACTACTACTAGACGTATGTTCGAGTTGCTAAAATTTGTTGGTCCAAATAGATACTAATATTTATTCATGATTCTGTATTGTTATGTTAATCCAATGATTTATGTAATAATAGTCTACCTTGCAATTTCTGTAGATAAAATCTAAGCATGCAGTTGCCATCCACTTCATCAAAGCAAGGATATAAGGACAGGCATCCTGCAATCCACCGGGCAATTCTTCAAGCCAAGATAAAAGTAAGAGTTCCCAACCGAGCGATGCTGGCTCTAAGTATATCATACCACAGCGGCTAACAGTCGCAGGCTGAAAGAAAATATCGTACATGAAATGATCTTACAGACGAATACTAATTTAACAACCCTGTACTTACTGATGCCTGCGACAAATCCAAACACTCAAATATTAGGCTCATCTTATCGGACATTTGAATAATTTCCCCACTCATTAAACAAAGCTATAGGATAAAATAGTCGAACGATGGTAAACATATTGTTTAGCACTTCGTAACTAGCCGAAAACAAAAATAATGAGTTGCACACAAATAGACAGATTAGATCGGCCCTTATTTTGATATCCTTACTTTCTTATTGTCATCTAAAGCTGTATTCATACTTTCGATCCAAAGGGTATCCACAGGACCATCAAATACTACCCAATTTCGTGTTTTAGAAGAATGAGCAAACTCTCGAAATGTTGTCGCAATTACGCCATCAGTCCACTAAAAAGTAACGCATATCATATTCATGGTTATGATCCCTTAACGCACAACATCGTTAGTGTTATTCATACTTCGTGAGAAACTGGATCGAATTGCCCAAATAGTTGTCCCATTGTAATAGCTTTCGGATTGATTATTCGATACTGCACCTAAATCGCACATATCAATAGTGAGACCGTAAACCACATCACATCTAAACTTTTATGTAATCAATTCTGCAGCTTATACGTATGTAGTCTCAAATGATATCTTAATAAATCATTTCTGCATTGTATTGCAACAACAAAACGAAACCAATATATCAAATTTCTGCAAGGCTTCAAACCACATCTATCGGGCAGTGCACCTACCTTATCCTCATCAAAACCCTTTTGATGTAAGGATGCTAAAGTTTCTGCCAAAATCTCTAGCACCTTCGTTTTACCGGCTAACGGCCCACCTACTAACATGAACCTAGTACATAACAGTAAAAAAGCTCGAATGAGAAATTTTTTCCTTTATTATGGCAAAAAATTAAAGTAAATTCTACTTTACCCATGGCGCACAATCATCATCTCGTAAGTTTGAATCAATTTCTGTTTAAAAAACTCTACAAATTGCAAATTCTTTCCAGTACAAATCTAAATTAAAAAATAGACCGATCGCAATAATTTATAATGGTATAATAGCTAACTGCGTCACATGCGCATAATTTTTAAAGTACCTCTTTGGCAGCATCAATCAAGTATGCATAATTCGGTTTAGGCAAATTAATATTTGGAAACAAATCGGATACTATTCCCTCGAACAGAGGAATATCGTGGGCTAAAAACTGTAAATGGAGAATTCTTAAAAAGTCTGCAGTAATTATTAACTTGTAAATCTTCAGATTAAGAAGTCAACCTTTGGAGAATTTACGTCAATTATGGAGCGTAATAGCTAAAAAAAAAGCGAACAGGGTTTAAGAGGGTTATAATATTTAATTTTACAAAAATCATAGTATAAACGGCTCATCTGGGTAGGTGCATTGAGCCAGATTACTTAGATTTTTGTTTACCAATACACTTTCATTTTCACTAGGATGTTTCAATTTCAAATTAGCGGCAGCAGCCAAAACCGCCTTTACAGCTCTCATGCCATAATCGTAATGAAATTGCGTAGATAGCTGAAAGATAAATACAGTATTAACCCCTAAATACTTCAATTTTAATCAATAATTATAGTAAGCATACAAATGACTTACTAATTCAGAACAAAGACGATATGTGGATACGATCTTGATCGCAAGATTCCTGGCATCAACAAAACCATATGAATATAACATGATTTCACTTATCAGAGCGTAATCAGGGACCATCATTGCGACCGTTCTAAATAAAACCTGATAAACGAAGTAATCTGAATGAAAACCCCTTAATAACTCCACCCGAAGTATAAAATTCTTGCAGCATACTTTTAAGTTGTCAGGTAATTCCGACCGACCAGCATATCCTGGGTTCATGGTAATGCATACATAACAGCTTGGATTAAGAACGATTTCAGTTCCATCAAAGACAAATCGGTCTAACTGACTCTGAACAGCTCGCTGGATAGCCAAAATCTATATTTTTCATAAAGCAAAAATTTATCAAAATAGATTATATTGTCCAGTATAATGATCGTGTAGTACTCTAATTTCATCAATACGGATAACATTACAGTACATGTACTCTGCTGCAACTAATAAATTCGATTGATATCTTTCTTAGCCGAAGCATACCTGCTGGGCAACAACAGACAAGACTTCCAGTTCTATCCTATTGAATTCGTCGAAACACGCCCATGCACCGGAGGACGCTAAGCCTTTAAAAAACTAACAAACGAAGAATATTTAAAATTAATACACTACAAAACCGGCGTAATTATAAAAATACATAAAACGTTTTTTACTCTCGTAAATCTAAAGACAGTTGTTCCAGTACCTTTCCCATAGCAAGATAGTCTAAACCATCAGAACAGTTAAAAACAACGCATTGCTTGGCCAGTGCTTTCGCTAAATCCTTAATAACATATTACATGCCCTTTATAGAACTATACCTATGAACTTTAAATAAAAGAAATCTATGTAAAGTACCTTAACAGTTTCAGTTTTCCCAGTACCGGCTGGACCTTCAGGAGCGCCGTTTAAGTTTAGACTATAAGCACTCACTAGCGTCCGATAGCACCGGTCAGTCAAAGGAGTAATAACGAGTCTGCATAAAGAAAGGAATACGACATCGTTTTTCATACTATGTTCTCATCAAAATTGAAACACAAATTCAAAACTTTTAATCTTTGATAATCACCGACTGGTATTCCCTAAATATTCATATCCGTAGTTTACACTCGCATTAACAATGCGAATAGTTATGTCATCTAAATGCCAATAGTATCGCAGCTGGCAAAGCCACTGGAAATCGCTCTCACTACTAACGCCTAATTCGTAACCAATAATTAGATAAAATTCGTAATATTCGTACTATCCACGCAATGACAATTTAATTTATTAAAATTCATCGAACTCATAAAGTCAACTCAAACCTTTATCAGCTAATTCTAAAATTACATCCCTAGCGTGAACGTCGATAACTACAAGAGCACCAAGCGTAATGCGCGTTTGTTTTGACAATTCCCCTCGAACCAGTTTGACAATGTTTTCAAGCTATAAACAAATTATGTCAACGATAGTATTAATTAGCAAAATCACAAAAGCTATGATATAACAAAACTGGTACGGAGCTGAATTCATTTATAGATATCATGCAGTTATCCGAAAACATTTCAACACTTTCAAATGATATCCGTCTGCTAAGATTCTAATAAAACAAATAGTCTGCAGCTACAGTATTATTTCTCTACCAAAGGAAACTCATTTATACACTATATCACTTCAAATTATAGCATCTATTTAACTCAAGTTACTTAGATGGTGTAGACCAACATAAGGTAAAAGCTGACTCGAACATCTGAGAATATAGTACTTTGCAATACTTAAATGTTTCTTATCAATTGTAACATTCTGATTTACTATTTCCATCAAATGCAAACACCAAAAGAAATATCATAAGTACAGACCTGTCTCTGTAGTCTATCATGGTAATCGTTTAAGCCATGCGGACCTAGTTTTATTGCATCATGCGTTTCTCTAGTCCAAATGATCTGGTTTACTGTCAGTACCACCTTTTAATCATAAAAATAGTAAATTAATAGGTTAGACATGTAATAATACCTACCTACTATTTTACTTTATATAGAATCTATGTACCAAACCATTCTGATAGATATGTGTAAAATGTAATACAGATACTACGTTTTAAAAATATAGCTTTGCAATTTCTCATGATATAAGTGCTTTTCGCTGATGTCCCTGGATGCCTGCCTACCTGGCCTGGCCATTCAGTAACCCAAATAGACCTTTCGTCGTCAGTATATGCCTGATGTGATAAAATTTACAGTTAGTTATCGTAACCCTGTAAAGTGTTCTGCATGACGTATCATCCTAAGCTATTATATGAAAGTTACCACAATTATTTCCATAATGTTATATGTGCATTGTACGTTATTATTGAATAAAAATAAAAATACCAAGATTTAGCTGACTAAGAGCTGTGACACTAAGATAGGTTATAATGTTAAAGTCAGTCTGATATCCATACACTGCATAGTGAAATATTTTTAATTCTTCAAATGTATGATATCTATATTGATCGTATAAAGCAATATCATTCTTTTCAAAGTTAGGACTAAAAAACCACTACCATCACATATATGCAGACTATACACTCCTCCTACAGGTTGATTAAAATAAAATGAACCTTAACTAACTACAAAATTAAATGCCACTTGAACCCTTCACTTCAATATCTGATTTATAATGTAACATACTAATCGTCCCATAATAGCTCTTGCAGCATATAATCAATTTATGTCATACTTATGTCTAATAACCGACGAAAATTTTAGTTATCAAAGACAATTTCAGTTCCTAGTACTAACAAAGACCACTACCATATCTGTATATAAAAACCTTATCACAAATGGCGCTGAGTTGCTTACCTCTAATGCCTTATCTAAAACGTTCTTAACGCTTAAAAACATGACGTTTTGAACCTGATCGTTTACAAAAATTGATTTAACCGTAGTGCGGGTTACCAAACGGTGCATATTAGTATAGTTTCCGAATAAGTCTATCATACCCTAAGTAACCATTTTTCAACTGCTCCCTTCGTTTCTGAAGTAGATATCCTTTCCGTAAAATCAATCTGAAAATTACATTACCGAAATATTTTAACAACGCTACATTTTCAAAGATAATATGTATGCTGGATGCTACTTTGAAACGATACTACTGTAAATTTTCCTAAATTTGCAATACCAACACATCATAAAATTTTAAATTTATACCTTCTCCCCTTGAGCGCTGTACATTGCAGTTATGTTCATGTTATTTGTAAAATCTAGTTCCGAAATCCCTTCAAAACATTTTTTTAGATGCGGTTGAACTCGAGTAGGATCTTTGGTTTCCGATAAGATTTCCAAAATTTCGTCATTTGACAAAAAGAAAAATCTGTTCAAAATTATCACAGAAAAGATAGTATTACCAAACTATCACGTAGTTAATTATCAAAAGATGCATACTAACTGCAATCACCAAGTAAACTCTTATAAAATTTTAGCACCTAACACGCAAATCTATAAGCAAAATCTGCACTTTCGAATTAAAAATTCTTATAGAATGGGTTTGACTACAGTATATGATTTGCTGCGAACCTCGGAAAGTATAAGCGTTTCTTTTCTAGATACTGATTTAACCCTTTATTTATTTTTTCCAAAAGTCGATTGCAGTCCGTCAATCTTTCCAGTAAATTTGCCATAGAAGTTGCCGCAAGAACCTAAGAAATATCAACAACCTTACAAACTCTCCTAAAATAGCTGTCTATCTTATATAAGCCAAATAAAGAAAATTTTTTTACTTTTGGATCTTTCAGCGCATTCTTCATTACGTCCTTCCAAGTTCTATCAACTGTTTGAAAAAGCCGCCCCTCTTCTGGCATCTGTAGCATAATGTCCTCCGAACTAAAAATTGGCTCTAAATATAGCCATTGAGCCTGAACCTGCAATCGCGATATTCTCATTTTTCAGTCCTAGTAAAATGTTCCAAATCCATCTAATATATGTATATCTATTTTGTACCTTGAGCCATTCATCTATAATATCTTGAACTCTCGTTAATCTTTCCTCCCATTCCTAACATAATTCAAGATATTCGTTAATTTACTATAAGGATTTCCTATGTTATATTGTATCCGCACTTTAATGTCTTTTTCAAAAGGTTTGATAAAAGGAGACCCCTTCATTATCTGCGTTTTGATAATTTGATCATCAAGGAGGGTCTGAATATCGTCGATAGCTGCTAGGATAACAATGCCTAAGATGGAATAACGTAAAAAGCTAAAGTAATTAACTACTTAGATAATGCCAACAAATATATTTACGCAAAAAAGTAGCAACTGGAGTTAACCTGAGTCTCTGTAAGTAGTCGTATTAAAATTTACGGCGTCCCACTCTTCAACCATGCGCTGCAGTGATTTTTCCAGTGCAAACTCCTTTAAATGTTACCAAAATAACAAATAGCAAATACTGCTGTATAAGATCACTGAGGACTGTAGCCGTAATTCATCTCTTTGCATCTGAAACGCATATGTACCGCAAAACCGCGTACCTTACTAGCGGCTAAGCTAATATTTTCGAATTCTTCCATATATGGCTGTAAATTAATTTTCAAGACTTTCCTTAAGGTGGTTCCAGAATCAGGTGTTAGATCAAATCCTATAAACTGCGACATCTAGAAGAGACGTAGTAACTACTTAGAGAACTCATCAGTTCATATCATTAGTAATTGTGATAGTATACTATTAACAGCAAGTACATACGAAAAATTTTAATTACTATTGTGTCATAAAAGTATCTAAGCAATGCCGTAGTTGATAATTATAAGTAAAAAACAAGTCACACAGTAAATATGTACAATACCGTACAAACAAAAAGTAAACGTATGATAACGAAAGCGTTAGTGGCTTATTCCATCATATGTTTCAGAATAAATAGGGATATCACTTACGAACGAACCCAATTTATTTCATTGGTGTCGGCTATAATCTAACTGTAGATTAAAAGCATACAATTAAGAATGTACTTACTTGTTTCCAGTGTCTGTCCCGTATACCAGGGTTACATAGAGTAGTCACCAATGGAATATGAACCTAAACACACAAGAGCAACGAATATTGTATATTAATCAACCTACTGCAATTGCAAGAGCATGTGTACTAAATAAGGCTTCCAATAAAGGAATCTGTAAATGATAGCATGAGATATCAGCAAAATCGGCAAAAATATATATTTATTAAATGATTTTACAGTTACTATTTTTGTATTTTCTATAACCTTAAAATCCAATATTTGCTTTTGAATAGCGTTGGAAACTTTAATAGCTGGAGTTTCCTCATCTTTTATTTCCCTATCTGACAATCTTTCTCCTTTCTTCTGACGTGTTGCCTCTTTCCCTTTACCTTTCTTTAGTCTAGCTGTAAACACCTTTGCAACCTTCAGAATATCCCGATTGTATTCGTTTACCTAATAAAAATGTAAAACGATATTCACCAATTTCGAATCATAATATCACTAACAGTTTCAAATTCGACAATCAAACAACACTTTTAAGCTACGTAAGTGTTGTGCATGAATTAGCAATTCGAAATACTTTGCATATGATACAGTTTAAAATCTAAATTCATTTTCTAAGTTAAAATAACCCAACAGAAGGAGTTACTTTAATGTTAAATGAATTATTTCTCTCTAATTAATGCGGTCAAAAATATACTTGTACGTAAAATTGCATGATTCTCAAAGCTGGCAGAGCAAGGATTAACTACAAGCTTTAGTAACAAGATATGAATTATAAATTGGCCATCTAATGACAAATCAAATATCCACTATTAGCGACTTTGTTATTAAGTCGACTTTATAGTATTGTAAATTGATTTGGTGGTACGTATACTGCACACCAATTGAATAGTAGTGCAGTAATGTACAGTATATGAAATATTCCTTTAAGTTAAATAAACGCTCAAGATAAACCATACAAAGCATTGCATCAACAGTATCAATCATACATGAGTGTGCTGGTTAATGCACTAATAATTTTAATGTAAATAGGATTAATTTCTATTCCAATGCCGGATTAACTGAGCACTATGGAAATAGTTATCTCCCAGTGTACTTGTATCTTCACCAAATACAGTACTTACTGCACTTGCTGAAAAACTGCTCATCTCTCCAAACACCGTAAGAAAAATTTATTCCAGCAGTTATATAGATTCTTAACTTTCAAATGGCGCGGTAATTTTAATGGTAAAACGTACCAACATATCCAAGTACTGTACCATGCACACGTTTACGAGTCCTTCATGCACTTTATTATTTTGCTGGAACCGTACAGTACAGTACTGTACAGTATAGATCACTTCATCGTAATGATCGATTGATAATTTATAATTCATTAATGTACGAGAATACATAATTAATTAAGGAATCTCGCTATGAAAGTAACACAAAGGTTAGCAACATGATTGCTTGTCATCATGACCTGTATCTTATAGACTAACTCTATGAAGATGTTGAGAGTAATACCATCATACCATTAATTAATTACTGAATTTTGCTATGCGCAGCCATATTCAGTAAGTTTCGGTCAGGCTGTTTTAATACTAAGCATCAAAAACGGTATTGTACATTTATAACACTGAGCTATATTCTAACTTAACTGCTAAACAGTAAACTCATGCATCCGTAACGTGCGTAAGTCACCGTCAGGTCTAGTCAATGCCCATTACGATGTGCTGTATAGACATTGAGTCAAATTCTCAGTGTAACTCGACGTCATTCATTTGCTAGAAGCCTAGAATGTTATACTTTCCATCACATCTTACAGCGTAGTCTATAGTTGTACTGAAATCTTTCATCACATGGAATTCGACTTAAGCTTGTAATATGCAGTATGGCTAGCCTACTATCAGATCACAACTTACTACTTTAGGAAAATATGGTGCTGTCCGAAAAATTAAATTGATGAAAGTAAACCAGAAATTCTTAAAAATTATAAAATTTAATCTTCTGTATTCGATTTCATCATTCTGTTCGTTACCCCTCTAAATATACAGCACTCAGAAAGTCTGTATCTAGTGCATCTCAAATATGATTGCAAGCCAGTAGTAATAAATCGGTATTTGAAAATGCAAACTCATTCGGAGAATGACATTTTTACGACAAATCATTTCACATACCTCATTTTCAACCGTTTCCGCAATCAAATCCAGGAAGGATCCATCAGTCCACCTAAAAGTCAATTAATATCATATGTACTAATGAATTCAAGCCATTTTTCTTCCCAAAGTATAACAAGCGCATCCATACTATGCATGCGTAGTTCTCGAACAAATTTTTTCGTCAAAAACACAAATAACAAAAAGCAATCACAGTTCATACTTTTTTTCTGATTTTTGCCATCTTACGGCAAGCGTAAAAAGCTTAGAAAATGGTTCCAGGGTATTCGATAAATGCTCAATCTCCGGGTAATAGGTAGACTCCCATTGCAGAAGCTGTTCCTCCTAGGTTATTAATTTGTAGGATCATAATCATTATAAAAAATGAAATCCAACGTAAATCAATGTGTTGCTAATAGAAAGTCTTGCAGTGTGATCTCAGAAAATTCACTTTTACCTCATTTATAACAGAAATCATTTCAGATATTTCTTGAATTTTTCTTTGTGTGCTTTGAACATCCTTGACGTATTGATTCATCATATCTAAGTCACCATATTCATTATATTCCATTACACGCCTATTACAGTACAAGTCATATTTCGTAAGTTATCCGATGGAAATTACTGTTGTTCACAGAAGCACTCCCATTCGAAAGTCTGTAACAAGTCAGTATTACGTATTTTCCGGCAATATCAAGCTCTGGCACTGAATTTAATGAGGTCATCGTACGGTATCTCAAAGTTATAAAGAAACGCTAGTTCGCCAAGCCGCAATAGTAGTACTGTATACCTGTAATAGAATCCTTTTTGAAATAATTTCATTTTAAAAGCTCACCTATTCAATTTCTCTAAATCGAGAAGCACTTTCTCCCTTTTATCTACCAGATTGCGTTCGCTATTTTTTCTAGCTGTAGCGATTATCTATGTATAATGCATGTAATAAAAAGTATGACTTTCACAGGTTGTATCATGCAGAATAAAAACAAACTTACATCATCATTCTCTTCGAAAACTGGATCTATTCTTTGAGGCCAAGTTAATGTAATACTATTTAATTCGATATCGTCGGAACATAATAAACTAGCTTCTAATAGATATAGTAGCCTATGGAAGGAACTCTGTAATTGGAAACCAAGTCATCATCAGCGAAGTAACAGTAGCAATAATGATTAATGACTTTATTTTACTTTTATCTTTTCGTTCAGCTGGAAAAGCTTCAATGCTTTTGCATCTGTAATGTAGTTGATGCTATCAATCATGTCCTTCGTTGACTGTGGCACAGCCGAAGCTCGACGTTGAATTTCTTCATATTCATGACATATTCTACCAGAATGTCAAGTATGCATCAAACACCATTAATGTTATTTAAGTATTACAATTTACAGAATAGAACTACTGTAAGTAGCTTTATTATGCACTCACAGACCACTGAGCCGTGGTTTAACAACCCCAAATAAATACCTCAAATTTTCTTGTCGATGATCCTCGGACAATTTTCGCATCAGCCTATTAGCGTAGCTTCTCGCAATATCTGCAAGGCAAAATTTTATTTCTTCGCAATCTAACCTGACCATTGCGAAATGTGCCCAATTTGGTAAACCCATAATTTCTTTCGCCAATGAACGAAAGCGTCCAACTTTCTAATTGGTAACAACCCGTAAAATAAAATGAAGAGAGTCTTTCAGAAATGACAAACGACTACTTGACTAGCTAATATAGCTCATTGATAAATGCCCACCGTGCAGTATTCCTCAAAAGAATGTTCCCCACTCAAAAACGTTACCACCTCAGTTTCTGCAGTGCCATCTACTAAGAATCTATACGGATCTAATAATATGATACGAAAGTACTAATTTCAATATCACAGCAGTCCTCACTACAGTATACAAAATTTCATACCATATATGTTCAGGTAACCATAAAGTTCGTTAAAACTATTTTCTACAACACTTAACAACCGTTTATTAGCTTCACCCAGAACCGATGCATCAACACAGGTATCATGAAATATATTGGAGTTTCCATTTAGCCAAGACTGCAGTAATAAATAGAAATAGAGTAACACAATAACCGTCATCTAACGAGTCTTAATCCTGACCGTAGCGGGTCTACGACAATTTGAGGGGCACAATTTACCGCTGTACTACGTCGTATTATAGCTAAAAACAATGGACTTCTAAGACAAATACAGTATTTATCTGATAAAATCAGAATTCCCTGATGAAAATAATATCAATATAAATTTGATTGTAAGAGAATAGATTTAATATTTTACAATATTCAATCCTATAAGGCGTAAAATTGATTTAATGTGGCAAAGTGACCGCAGCAAATCATCCGAGCCCGGGCAATAGCATATTAAAATAAAACCAAGCCTACAGTATACTATATACAGTATATATACCTGTACTGTTGGAATTTTTTGTAGGGTGTTTGCTACAGTTGTAACAACGCCTAATAGTGCAGCTTCAAGTTCTTCTCTGGACGGATAGAAGATCAATTCATTGTTTTCTAAAGTCAGCGATAAATTAAATTGAGGCATCTTCGTAAGGTTTATATCTTGATCAAATAACGCAACCCATTCTCCAATCGTACGGTTAATATAGTTTTTCATCTATAATTACGTAGGAATGATATTTAGCTGATAATCGAAATATTATTTTATTAAAGAGTTGATTATTTCTGTTTACCAAATTTGAAATCAATATCGAAACACTTGAAAAGAAAGAATCTGCTTTTGAGCCAGTTACTTCAGCGAACAATTTACGATCGCTAAATATATTTAATATTTCTGGAAACCATCTAATAAGAATCACATAAATAATTTAATGAGTCAGTGCGACAAATCGATATAGCCCTCACCTAAAACTCTCTCAGTCACGCTAATTATAAATATACTTGTTCAATATTTTTTCCTCAGTTCTTTCACAGTCTATGACAATGTCATTTTTCAGATCTCCTAATTCGTTTGGACCTTTATCCCTAATAAAGGTAAAGAATTCGTCAGAATTCGTAACTTACAGACACACTATTGATTAACGCAAAAAATAATTTTGATTATCGATCTTAGCTATATCAAATAATACGTTCTATGCCCCTTAATAAGATTCGCAAAAATACTGTAGGAATGTCGCTAGTAACCTGATGTTCTTAAAGTTTACAATTTCCTGATCTCTAAATTTTTGGGAAAGGCATAAAATTTTCAGCATTGCGGGATGTAGAATATGCAGATCACTAATCAACTTCCGCCTCGCATCTTCAAAATTTTTCTTCCATGGAGTTGAAAAGTCAAGGCCACTATTGTTTAAAAGTTACGGTGAGAATATGATACGAAATATCAGAGCAGCCTCGCAAGCACTGTGCAAGGATCTTGCGCAAGCTTAAAGTGATAATTAATATCGCATAAAATAATAGGTAAAGTGCTGCGTACGTAGGATCAGCCTTGCGTTGATCTTCGCCTTCTACTAGCTTAATATGAGGCTTGAGTAAAACATACTGAGCTATTACAATAGTAACAGAAAACATTAGTTTACGAAATTTGCACCGAAGATTTAAATATAATGCAGACCCACCCATTGATTTCTGTAAGCTTGACATATAAATATCCTCGATTTCTTGGCATATCACATCCCTTCGAGATGAAAGAGGCTTCGATCTCAAGAGCGGTTCTGGTATTTTTGAATATATATTATTCCACCAAGTGCCTACCATTCCAGAGACAGGACTACTACGAACTTGTGCTCTTAAGTATTGATAATTCAGCTGCAGAGTTATAAAATCAAGAATTAGAACATTTGACCTATTTAATTACGAAACAAGAAAGACTGATTATATTATCATGGTGCACCCTCTTTTTCCTGTCTTGGCTCATCATCTTCGTAAAATTAAGAAAATTGACGTAAAGTTAATTTTGAGAATGTATGCCACAGAAATATATAAAAAGCTTAAATGCTTCATATATTCTTGTGACTTACAGTTTCTGGCATTTCTGGAACATCAGGATCACAATCACCCACCGTTAAATTTACAGCTACTGTCCGTGAATGCAAGACTTCGGCGCGCATTTGTCTGATTTATTGTTTTGAGACAGCATTGAATTACCTTGTCAATCGCACAGTGTTGCTAAATTCACGTAATATTAGAATTCGAGTACAAATATAGTAATGAACTTTACTAACATTTGCGAGTCAAGGTTAGTCTTTACTTTTGCTGCTCTTCGGTAAGTCCAAAGGGAGCTTTTATTGTAATCAGTCATACCTTGTTCACCATTAGCCGACTCAGGACGAAGTTCCCGTTTACTGAAACTCATCTTGCAACACTAAAGATATTGAAAGCACAGTTACGTTTATTACATCTAAGCCTTTACTTCCTTATAGGTCAGTCATGATGGAGGTAGTAAAGGGAACTTACGGTTATTATTTTTAATGTAGCTCCATAATCGGAATAGCAAAGATGTAAATACTACAATACTATGTATTAAATAGATCTTTACTATTAAATTAATACTAATCTATCTTCTCAGAAGCAAACACGCAAAATTATGTTTCGATACTACAGAATCAGGCAAAATAAGATTCTTCAGATGGAAAACATATATTAAAAGCGGCTAAGAATACAAATTCTAGCAAGTAATAATTAGTCTTCTCCTTGTAAAGAATTCAGCAAATAAAAAATCATCATCTACGGTAATTTATACGACTGCGAATTGTAATTCGCTCGCGTTACCGTGGCAACACTAACATACTTTAAAGTACTGTACCAGTGTACCTATTAACAATCACATACTGTACAGTACAGTGTACAGTACAGTACTCGATTTTGCAATCCTCTTTGTACTGTATTGTACTGTACACAGTATGAGCGTGCAGTTTTCAGTACACTGCGGCATACAGTACAGTACTGTACTGTAGACCACCAGAAAAAATACCTACGTACTGTACTGTACGACAGAAATTTTCTTGGGCGGACAGACATTTGGCCTACTTTGGTAAATTGTGTCCTACACTTTATTATGGCAGTGGTTCAGTACGTTGTTAGTCGATTCTGAATGGGCTGAGTTTTTCTAAATTAAGTAAGGTTCCATTTCCTGTTACTAAGTTCTGATTAGAAGCAGTAAATTTAGATCATGAATGTAACTTAAATTAATACGAGTGATTTAGAAAACAGACACAGAAGATCAATACTGAGTAACTGTTTTTCGATATTTTCGACCTACTCTGGTATGGCAGTCTGTCCGTCCGAGGAGAGTTTTAGGTCCAGGTATTTTTTCTAGTAGTATGTGGCTATGGCTACGCAGACCATCACGCTTTAATTGTATAAGTCAATCAGATCGACTTCAAATTTTTCATCGTCTGCATATTGAAATAATTATGTCCGTGTGTCTATCTACTTTTCAGTGCATACTAAACACGAAGTAAAATACTTAGTACCATAGTACGCGATATATCACGACTCCCTCGTAGCTAAGCACGAGCGAGAATTCCATGTAAATACAGCAAGTAAAAATATCATCTAGGTAATAATAACGCGCGATTGAATTATTTGAAAGTAAGGGATACGTTTAATTGCGCAATGTCCTTGCTTAAAATGAAGTCACCTATTGCAAACAGTAGATTTAATCCCCTTTAAAAGTTGCTATTTCCGTACTATAGCTATATTACATGTACAGTAATATCAATTTCGTTTGCGTAAGCTTCGAGTCGAACCTGGAATCTGGGTAATGACAGTAGGAAATATTGAATCACAGCGGGTAACATTCCTAGCTAATAATATAATTACAAGGAATAGTCAAAACTTATATTGCCCTTATAAATCATTAAGTAATCTACTGTACGCAATAAAGTACAGAAGGCTAATTCTGTCTAGTTAAATGGAATATCGAGCTTTACGTTAGCATATTAAAAAAGCAATCGATCACATTCTTATTATGCACCGAAATTGGATAGAGATAAGATCATATTCTTATACCATGGCTGTTTAACGAGTACGTATGTATGTACCTGTTAGAGTACTAAATTCAGTGTACTTGCGATATGCCTAGTCAGTTCGCAAACTGCAAAAATACCAAAACAACTAAATCAGAGAAACCATCTTTATTCATGCAGTAATATTACTAAAACCAAAGAATCTATAAATATGTTTCTTTGTAGATTATAATAATAATAATAGGCTGATTCAAGTAATCAATACATACGTAACTTGCTGAAGTAATTGCTTAACAGTTAGAGATACAATTATCAATCAAGTAGTTATTATCGAATTGATCATGTTCCGATTATGAAAATTTTTATTTATTTTTGCAAGTTCTCTTATTGATATTTACTGTTACACTTGACATTAGCCTTGAAGAATTGTATCAGTTAATATTAAAAGACGTATTGTCGACATTTTGCGAATTGACAGGATTTCGTACTTGGGGAACTGTTACAAGAACACAGTCAAGAAGTCAAGTCCTGCAATTTTTTACCTCTAAAAAATGCTAAATTTCGATGCCAATGCGACAGACAGAGAAAACACTGCATCAAAGACGTCTGCTCTAAACTCAAGCAATAGCAATGATGCGAGGCTGGAAAGCGTAGTCACCTTATGAAGCCTTATCAACAGAATAAGTTGTATGCGACGAAACTCTTACTGTAAATCCATGGTACTTAAAAAAATATCATCATTGCAACTAAACCTTTATAAATGATGAAATAGTGAATGGATATTGTAATAAAAAATATGCGGTATTCGTAATTCATTATTAAATTGCGAATTAAAGCCATAAACAATTAATAACTGCATTAATTCATCGCGGTTTCTGAAGTAACAATGATTGTCACAAATTAATCATGATTAATTTTTTAGTTCACGTGGCTTCTGTAACTGCATATCGTGCCTTACATACTACTGTTAGTATTAAAACTGCGAGAGCTGAGCGATGTATAAGAAATAAATTGAAGGTGATCACTAAGCAAGATTGAATAACTTTCGGTAGCATCATTGGTCAGCAACCGTACATTAACGAGTTGGAAAATTTAACTCTAGACTACTCAATATAAAAATTTTCAACACTATGTCTACTATACTGTATACCAACTAACTTGGGGAGTTTCGTAAATTTCTCGAATACAAAAATACTTACGTATGTTAAAAAGACTTATCTAGAGATCGGCAACAGCTTTGTCAAAAGCGTGGTAGTCCACTGTACTAAAAATTAAAAATTTCATTATAAAACTGAACATATAAACACTAATTAATGTAAGTAGAGAAAATTGTATATTATATAGTTGTAGAAAACAAATAGTTCGCATATGAAATTTATTGTTTACTAATCAAAGACTTACAGTAAATCTAGATTTAAATAATGTAAAATAACAATAAAAAAATCTAATGCAAAAAAACAAGAAAAACCAAAGTGATTACGAGAACAAATCTGCGCGTCAAATACTATAACTTAAAATAATAACTTGCGAATTTTATTATAGACAGTTAATGAAAAAAACATTTCGAACAGAAAATCGATACAGAAATAAAGATTGTTAATAATTTCAAGAAATTCCTATCAATCCTCAAAAAATTCTTTGACCTATATTTGAACTCAACTAAGAAATGTATGAAAATGATGAATAAAAAAATTACAAAAATTATACGATAAAAATCATGCAAGATAAAAAAAGCTAATGTAAAGTAGTTTAGAGAACTTTCAATGTCTAAAAACTACAAATTCCAAGAAATAAACAGTAATATAAACTGTTTAAAACCTGTAATTAGAATACCTAAAATACTAAAAAAAATTTTACAAAAGAGCTTTAGAACGAGTAAACTGAATAAAATATAAAATTCTAAAAAATAATTCTGGCAGATAGCAAAAAGAAAAACTTTAATAACACTATAAATATTAAAAATGAAAACCTGAAGCATGGCTTCAACAAACTAAAAAAAAGTTGCACATTAAAGTTTGTCAGTGTATTTAATATTTAAACCGAAAAGCAAACGATTATGAAGTAACTAAACGACAAAAGTTCTTGAAATTAATAATTAGTATAATAAAATAGTCTTATAAAAAATGGAAAAAGCGTTCTGGCTTTTACATAAGAATGTCGATAAGAAATCAAAACGTATACAAAGTTTTCCGATCGATACTATAAAACCTGGCTGTAAAAGACATAAAAATTTCTTTCGCGTGGAAACATTTAAATATTAAAAAATCGATTTCGTCTATCGATTTATTAACAATGAAATAATTATATATAATGTCCCTTTACTAAAAAAAAGGTAACGCAACTTTTAATTTATATAAATTATAGATTCAAGCGAATAACCATAATTAACAATTTTAAAAAGTAATTCTTCAAGCCTCAGGAAAAATTAGTTGAAAATAAATATAATTTAATTCTCAATCGCCTGTATTACGCTGAAATTAAATCTAAAATAGTAAAATTTATGCGTATTTCTCGAAAGAAAACCGTATAAAAACTAAAATATTCTCTCCAAAAAACATTCTTTAAGATATTATCCGTTATGTAAAAAAACATGTAAAATTTAAAACATTTTTAAAAGTAAAAAGGTAATTCCATGAAATATATTTATAACACAAGATAATTGAAATAAAAATTTTGTCTTTAGATTAAATAAATACAGTAGCAAATTAACTCTTGACGCATCTTAAAATATTGAAAATTTTGAACAAAGGAAGAAAAGAAGCTTTTTTGTTATAAAAATAAACTGGTCAATACACAAAAATTTTCATTGGTATCTACCAATGAAAGTATACAAATTTT